AGGGAATGAAGGATCGGGGATCCCCACGGTTGTCGGTAATGGCTTAGGCGAAGATACCGACGATTGACATGCCAGCGGCTGCTAGAGAGTTAGCGGGGTTTGTGTGATGGAATGAGATGAACTGACCTCCGGCGAGAACGTAGCAGAACGCGGTGATCTTGTCCTTCTTGGTGAGGATGCGGTTGGCCTCTTCAGAGAGGAAATCCTCAGCCAAGAGGTCCACCAGGGCAGCGTAAAGCAAAAGTCCGGAAGAACTGGTTTACATTAGCAAGCAGAGTGGCACAGGACAAAAGCTGCACTCACATGGCGTTGAAGACACCAACAATGATGAGACCAAAGGCACTGTCGGGGTCGTATGTGTTGCGGGTGGCGAGACCGATGGCCTGTCCGATGGGAGCGGTGGTACCGAAAGCAACGACCAGGACCCACGGACGGATGCTGCCCTTGGGGTAGGGAACAGCAGCAATACGAGAACCGAGACCAAGACCTTCGAACATTTGGTGGAAAAGAATGGCGACGAGAAGGATGATGAAGCCGTCAATGGTAATGGAAATGGTCATGCCGACAAACACCGAATGAAACAGAATACCACCCTCAAGCATGGTAATGTTGAGAGACATCTTGCGATACACAGCGGGGTCAACGGCCTGCCCCTCCTCGTCATAGAACGGATCTTCCTGCTTGACCTCCTGCACAGCGACCTGCGAAACCTGCTTCTCCTGGGTTGATCGGATCATGTTCATCATCTCCATGCGCTGGCGCACATATTGCTCGTAAAAGACAACGAACCAAGGAGGCATATCGGAATCGGCCAAGTTGGATGGCGGGGGCGCGCCGTAGGTGCTCTCCTGGTACGACGGGAACTTCTCGTCGTAGGCGCGCTGGGCAACCTTCTTCTCAAAGTCGATGCTGTCGGCCTCGGCATCGAAGCTGTTGCGTCCATAGCGCGGCGGTCTAGAAGGCATTCCCACGGCGTGATCATGCGCGTCATGAGAATGCGACATGACATCGCCTGTCGGGCCGCCGTGCGAGTGACCCCCAACCTTGGAGTTGATCCACATCTCGATGGTGAAGAGGATGAACATGGAACCCATCATGATGGCGCCGGGCAGGGGAGGGTAGTCATCGGTGAACAGGTCCGGCAGACACGGGTTCATGAGATTGCCAAAGGCGGTGGGAAGCAGCTGTGTTGCTATTAGTCTCCGATGACTGTCATAGTGGCGATGCACTTACATGGACAAATGCCGTTGCGATCAGCACGCCCGTACCGAAATGCTTGCATGCGAAAAAGACCTTGGGAGGGACCTTCAACCACTTGACCTTCTTGGCCATCACGGGGAATCCAGCTCCTGCATCCACTCAGTTAGTTTCCGGCCCCACGAGATCCTCGTCGCGTGTTTTTTGATTGCGTACCAAAGATTGAAAATCCCAAAACCAAGACTGCGCCAAGTTAGCCAAGTTGTTCGGTTAGGTGATGTTCGCCAGGTTTGCGACTTACAAAGACCGGCGACGTGCAGACCGACATCGTACTCGCTGGTTCCGCCCTTCTTGCCGCCGCATTGCGGCTTGGGCTCCTTCATACCGTCCATCTTGATTAAAAATGGTAGTTTTTTGTTTTAAAAGGGACTACTACTTGATTGGTAGCCCCAAAAGAAAAGCGAATTGAAGTTGAGAATGGAAGGGACAGCCAATTGTCCTGGGCTGCCTAATAACGACGACTCATTTGAGAAAGGAATGTTACTGAAAACAAGGGGACACGAGAAACCGTCCCGCGGCTTCAGTATGAGTAGAACAGACGAAAAAAAGTGCTGATCTAGTCCCCGCTGTCGTAATTGTCGGAGAGGGCAAGGAAGGAAAAAAAAAGACAGGACCAGAAGAGAAAGGAAAAAAGGGAAGGAAGAAACGGGCGCAATAAGAATCGAACGAGACCTGACGCTCTGTGGCGAGCAGAAAAAAAGGCTTGGGCAAAGTCTGGGCTCGACTTGCTTTAATATGCTTCATGTATGACAGCCCGCGCAATACTTCCCGCGTGGAAACGGGTAGGGCAAGAATAAACGTCGACATGGGACAACAGCCCTTGCGCCAGTACCGCCCGGCCGAATCAGAAATAGAAGACTGCGGCCAGGATGAGGCAGCTGAGGAAAGGGACCTTTGCCTGTGGGTTCGCGATGGGGTACGTGGCTGTAGCGTCCGCCTCGCGGGAAGCGGGAGGCGGGAGGACCTGAGTGGGCACAAGGTTGTCCGTGGGACGCGGCCGTGAGCATGGGGCGGAGGTGAGGGAGAGGGTCACGACGAGGACGAGGAGGATAGGCTAAGTCAACCACGGTTCAAAGGTGCAGTTTGCTGCGGTGCCCGAGACCCAGCTTGTCTCTGGGCATCGATGATCCCAGGCGTCAACCGGATCCGATGTTGGCGGATTGTTCGATCATGTTTCTCGTTATAGCATGATTTGCCGGCAGAACGAGACTGGGAGTCTGAGAGCCCGGCTCGACCTGACGGACTGGAAACGAATTGGTGGGCGGATAGACGCGGATTGGAGGGTAGGTTGTGTCTATCGGCCGCAATTCGTCTCGACTTCTTCTGCCACCGTTGCCGGCCAGCGCTTGGCGTTGGGCCATACTGCATAGCAGGTTGCTGTCTGGTTTGGTGTAGTCTTAGTTGGCGTGAATGATGAACATCCATCCAAAACGAGACGAAGGTCGATCTTCCATCGGGAAGTTGCCAGCCCAGGACAGAAGACGACGCAAGAGGCCACAGAAGGCAGGGGTGTGGGACGTGGGGTGCGCGTCAAATGGGGCTCGCCGGCATATGAAAAATTTGGGTTGTGTGAAACGGGAGGTTCCCGGGGTCTGCGTCCAGGGTCGCCAGTCGGAGAATTCTTAAGTCGATTTGACTCTGGAGAGGCGTCTGTCCCTGGCGTTGGCGGCGCGGGGGCGGCTGGAGGATGGAGGAGGCGGAGGAAGGGGATGGCTCGGCGGGACAGGCACAACCGTTGGAGCCAAGAGCCGAGCCAAGAGGCCGCTGACACGCTTGGCTGCCATTCTTCTTCGTCGAAGAAATTAAGCTTGGCGGGAGTCTCCTCTCTGCGAGATGGCTAGCTGCCTTAGCCCCCGAGATCGTGTGTGCATCCGCACTCGCATCTGCCGCTGTTGCTGCTGCTGTGGCTGTTGCTGCTGCTGCTTCCGCAAGTGTCTGTTCGTCGAGGTGGCCCAGCAGCACAAGACAGCAGCCGCCGCAGCACCCTTGACACTGACCTTCTGGCGTGCTTCTTTTTCGAGTTCACATCAGCCCTGCCGTGGGTCTCTGCTGGGTCTCTCTGCGTCTCCTGTGTCTCGTCTCACGTGCTGAGTTGCCTAATCGGCGGCTGGGTGAGGGGCAGGTTTTGGCGGTTTACCTAACAGGCGACGATCGGGGTCGGGGCTTAGTCGGAGGCTGATGCATCATAGCTGATGGCTGAAGCTCTCGAGGCAGGCGACTGACTCTGAATGGGCTCACAGATGGGATGGGATGACATGCTGAAGGGCAAACGTCGTCAATGGTCGCGCACAGCGGGTTTCTGGGCAAGGGCAGCTCAAACCTGGAGAGCCAAGGAAAAGAGGGAAAAGAGGAGCTTCTCTCGGCGTCTGAGATCAAGCGAGGCTGGGCGCAGCGACGACGAGACGACGTATCTGTCGATGTCTGGGACGCTGGAGACGTGAGTGTGTGTGTGTGTGTGTCCGTTTGTTCTTGCAGTTTTTGTGAGAAAAGGTGTGTGTATGGCGCAAGGTGTCTGTGGTGTGTATAGCAAAGGATGGAAAAGCAACTATTGCATCCGAGAGCGTGATGCAGAAGAGAAGGCGGAGACGAAAAGAAGTGGAGCCATTGCGTCGGTTGTCGTTCATTCTTGCTTTCCGAGGAAACAAACATGCAAGACGTCCCGAGCGCTCAGCTCCTTTAGGCAGAGTAGGCCCTTGACTTTTGCTCTCGTCAAACTCAACCCGAGTCTCGTGTGCAGCTCACAGACAGGCAGGCCAACAGGAGGCTCTGGATTACGCTACGGCTACTACGTAACTTTTGTCATCAGAACCCTGCCCGCACCACCTACGAAGTAAGGCACCTTGGGAGCCTGTAACAGCCCCAAACTCTTGGCAGAGGGACTATCGCTTCCTGTATCGGTGTACCCACGCGGCACCTGGGGCTGCCGTTCGGTGTGAAACAGCCCCGCCCGGCACCTCGCAGCCAATGGCGCCCAATCACGGCCCCCGCTGCCCGCTGTGCTCGGATCGCAGTCCTGATCGTCCTCGACTCTCTCTCTGTCATCCATGCGCCATCACAACAAGCACCTTCGTCGTCGTGACATGCTGTTGCAGGGACACGTCGGCCTTTTGTCTCCAGGCTAGCCCAAATGTGGTCCTTTACTTCACTCGACTCCGCCTGCCGCCTACGATCGCCCCTCGCTTACACTTTACTCGACCCGGCTCGACTGTCCAAGACCAGGAACACCGAAATAGATGCCCCCTGACCGACAAACCTCGTGCCCCATCACCGCCCTTCAACTGGCTGGATGCTCGACTTTTGCAAAGAAACAACCGGCAGACCGCGCTGAGAGACCACTCAAATCAAGAAATCTTGCCGTCATCCTGCCAGGGGCTGTTGTTTCCCCCTCTTTCTCGACACGTTCTAGCCCGCCCGCACATTGCATTGAAGAGCTTACTGTTAATCGTCCACGTAAGAAGGGGCCGTCCATCTCTTGCAGCGGGCGGCGGGTTACCTCCCCCGGCGGATGCGGAATGCGGAGGCGGCTCATCAGAAGCAAGCATGGCATTACATGAAAACCACATACCTTTCAAATAGCATAACATGGCATAGCACGGCGGCCGGATCTGTCTAATATATTACTCCCACTCGCAAATCGCGGCCTACCCGTTATTCCTCATCTTCCCTTCTACTGCATAGTACCAAGAACAGAACCCAGCTCAATAGCTTCCCGAAAATGCAAACTCCACGCGAGTCCCGGGACAATGTCCAACCATCGTCCAGTACGTGGGTTTCGCCTTACCTTTCTTTCCTGCCCACCCCCTTCACCCCCCTTTCCACTCACTCCCCTTGGCCTTGCCTTGCCTTGTCTGTTGCCTCGCACTGCTTGACTTGGCCTCGCCTTCGCCTCCCTTCTCTCCTACCCAATCCCTGGGCGCTGTGGTTGGTTCATCACATCCTCGCTGAGATGTGCGACGCCTGCTGCTGCTACTCGCATCGGATTGCCCTGCCCACTGACCACCGCTGGCCACTGCTTCATCCCACTACACCATCGACCACTCGGCCGCTGACCATTTGCTTCAGTCACTTCATCTCGAGGCAACTCTGTCGGTGATCTGAAAAGTGATCCGAAAGGTGAAGCCAACAGTGAACCAGGCCAACACCTTAAAGACAACCAGGACATCATCACACCCGTCCCAGCCTCTGGCACGGACGACAAAGCTGTCACAGAAGGGCTCTTCACTTCAACTACGAATGGCACAGCCGTTGACAAGCAGGACGCTCGCGTGTCATCCAACACTGACGGGGCCGACGCCTCTACAGTCGACACCTTCTACCGGCCCGACCCCTACGACTTTGGCCGACACCGCCGTGACAATGTCTCCAAGAAACAGATGAAGATTGAGCATCCCAAGGGTAACAAGAGGAAGCTCTCAAAGTTCTACACCCGCCAGAACGAGCTCATCGACCAGTTCCTGGGCGCCGAAGATGAAGAGAGGCAGCAGGTCGACGAGGATGCGCGGATGGGCCCCAAGATCAAGTTCGCCGTCAACGCATCCTTCACCGTCAACTTCTGCCTTTTTGTCATTCAGCTCTATGCCGCCGTCTCAACCGGGTCTCTATCGGTAAACAGGCACCCAAGACCCTGTGCTCACGGACTCTATGTTGACTCGTGAAATCCAGCTGTTTGCCACTGCAGCCGATGCTTTCGTTAGTAGACCCTTTTCCCCTCGATGAGGTGTTGGTGTAGAGGTTGACCAAGAGATGCCCAGATGGACCTCGTCTCATCCTTTGTAATGCTCATCACTTCGAGATTGGCAGCCAGGCCAAGCGTTTACAAGTACCCGGTGGTGAGTTACAACACGTGCGACACCTTGGCAATAGGATATCCGGGGTTGACAGAAGGGGTGAAAAACTAGGGACGAACCAGGATTGAGACGATTGGCATCATTCTCTTTTGCGCTCTCATGACCACGGTCGCCATACAGCTGCTGGTAAGTTGCCAAGTGACGGTTTGGCTTGGTCGGGTTTGGAGATGCTGATCTGGGGATAGGTCGAGTCAGGCCGTGCTCTTGGCGAGGGCAAACGGGCCTCTGAGGAGCTGCACATCATCCCCATCGTCATCGTTGGCGTTGCCATCTTCGCCAAGGGCTCCTTGATGTTGTATTGCTTCGCCTACCGAAAGTACCCCTCGGTGCATGTCTTCTTCGTACGTGGTCGTCCCATGAGTCCAGTCCGTTCAGATGACAGTTGGGCTAATAATAGCGTGTGTAGATCGACCATCGCAACGACATCGTCGTCAATAGCTTTGGTCTGATAATGTCCGTGGTGGGCGATCGCTTCGTGTGGTATCTCGACCCGATCGGTGCCATGTGCATTGCCCTGCTCATTCTGTTCTCCTGGGTCGCAAACGCCTTTGAGCAGGTCTGGCTCCTGGTCGGAAAGTCCGCGCCAAGAGACTTCCTCGCCAAGCTGACTTACATGTCAATGACCCACGACACTCGGATTCTCAAAGTCGACACCGTAAGTTGGCGGTTGCCAAGTAACGATGATGCCGTCTCTGACAATGAAGCAGTGCCGGGCGTACCATGCCGGTCAGAAATATTACGTGGAGATCGACATCGTCATGGACGAGGCGACCCCGTTGAAGATTTCTCACGACGTGGCGCAAGAGCTGCAGAGGAAGGTCGAGGGTGAGTCTGCCGCTGTCGTTGGACTGTGGCTACAGAGCTGACAAACAATACAGGACTCGGCGATGTCGAGAGAGCCTTCGTCCACGTTGACTACGAGGACCAGCACAACATCCAGACCGAGCATAAAGCATTGTACGAAAAGGTCGAGAAGAAGCCCAAGAGGACGCTGAAAGAGATCCTGCTGCGGACGAAGAAGGACACTAGCAAGGTAGTCGAGACGGAGATCTCGAGCGGGCGAAACTCGTCCTGAGAAGAGAGACTGGAGGGAAGGGAAAAGGCCCGGAGGAAGGAAACTACGAGTAATAAAAGCGAAGAGGCTGGGCGTTTGGGCCGCAATAATCTGGTTTAATCTGTTTTATCTCTCTCTCTCCACGATGTTGCTCTGGCAAGGTTGTGGACTCGACCCGTCTCGACCCCGGCCGCCTGCTGCACACCAACAGCGGGAACAGACGGGAACAAGCGGAACAGACAGTCCCGCCTGCGACAATCATGGAGCCACAATGGGCGATGAGGTCTGCTCTGCGCAGAGCGGCATCGGAAGGACGTGAAACAAACATGGGGGTACGGACGGCAGATGGTGCATCCAGTAGAAAAGGCATCCATAGAGGAAAACATCAAGAGAAACGTAATGATTTTGAGCTTTGCAGAAAAGGACCCACAAGGGTATCGTCGTTTGTGTGTACCAGACCCTTCTGAGGTGCGCATGCATGCATTGGCGACGATGGCGGGCTGGCATCGACAGATACGACACAGGGCGGTGTAAGCTGGCTTGCATCTGGTCTCCCAACGTCTGCGTCGTGAGAGATGCTACACTGCGCGAGCTAAAATCCCCAGCCAAGCTCAAGCGACAGACTTGGCGGTGGAAGGCAGTATGAGACGGCACAGCCAAGCAGTTTTGTCGTGTTGTAGTCCTTTTTCCCTTTCCCCGGCCGTCGAAAGGCTTGGCTACGCTCCTTTGCTCGTCGACCCCGGGCTTGGCTTGGCGGGGCGACGATGGGAAGACGCAAAAGCGAGGGGGGCAACATGAGAGCACGGATGATGGCTGAGGAGCAGGGCCCCCATGGTGTATGGTGGGACGAAAGGAACGTGCGGTTGATGGCTTCGACGTCGATCCAGGGGTTCTCCCACTTCCCACACCCGGCTGCGGTCACTCGCCGTGGGTCGGGCTGTCTCAGCTCTCGACTGTCGTCGAGTAAGCATAACGGGGCGCCGGAGTGCGCTGCAAGGTCCAACCGAGCGAGAGACGTTGAGAAGTGAGGCTGCCATCATGTTTTCGAGAAGCATTGCCGCGTATAACGATCAGAAAAAGAAAACAGATGAAATGGCATGGAAATGGCCTTTGCAGATGCAACGGTCTGGCTCTTACCAGTCTCGTCTCACCTGATATCTCATCTAGACGTCGACTGACATTGTTCGCCGTTGGTTCTTGTCCTGGATCAACTGGATGAGACGACTGCGGGGGCCGAGGAATCCGTCGGACTTTTTTTCTTTCCTTCTTGTCCAGGGGTTCACATCAGCCCGAGTATCAAGCTGTGATCATCGACGATGGGTCTCGGTCTGACGCGGCCGGCCATGCTGGCCGCATATCCTCACAGCCTCAGCTCGCATGATCTTTCGCTTATGTTTCGGCAGTGTTGCCTTTTACGTTATGATTGTCGAAAACACCATTGCTGTGCCGTTATAGCCGACGATGTCTATTTCAAGCAACTGAAAAGGAATTGTACAGCCAACTCAAGGGAGTTTTGCTATCCGGGCGCGTAGTGGGGGCATAGGCGACAATGGAGACAACGACGACGATAATGACGACGAGGACGACGGGGATGACGACGGGGACGACAAAAACGACAATGTGAGCGATAGTAGAGATATTATAGAAAGAAGTAGTAAAGTGTAGAGAATTAGATCAAATTAATGGTTCTATGCCCGGCTAACTAGAAGTATCCGCCCCGATATCAAAACTCACCCAAAGTCTGCGTGGCTGCCTGACGGGTCATACTTATACACGTTGCCGATGAGGCCGACATGACTATCTTTCGCAGTGTTTACGACAAGACCAAGCACCGAGACTCTTGAACGTTGCTGGCTACTCTTAATCTCTAAAACTAGGATAGAACATAGTTGGAAAACTGCTCTTGAGCTTCACGAATGAATCTGGGTTGTTTCCATTGAAGGTTGAGGACCAACGTGCGGGTGGCTGAATCGAATAGTGAGAGACCTGAAGCGGCCTTATTTCAAGTAAATGTGCTCCAATTCTTCTTCACTCGATTTGAATAGCCACTCACGGAAGCACTGGAGCGTTTGAGTAAGGATCTCATTCTCGATAGCTCGTGGTTGACTGAGGACAACTGCCCACCCTCCGTCACCGCCTAACACAAGTTACACACCACTCAACACATAATATCGATGCACTTCGGATCTCACTTGAGTGATCAAGCCTCACTGTTGCCTTGGGTCTCTTGGCGGGCTTTGATGAGCTACCCATGGCGAAGTCTCTAGTGCAAAAACGAACGCACCGCCGGTCCAGAAAATGAAACATTATTGAGAGAAAGAGAGACCGAATGTAGGAATAACCATGCCCTGGCATTACGTGGCGATTTCTGCACTTCTTTGACAGTCGATCGTAGCTTCCGTTGAATTAGCCTAAAACGGCAATACCGGCCGTATCGGAGCCGATATGACCCACAAACCCCGGAAGGAAGGTCCGTCTTTCTCGGGTCTGTGCACCCTCCCTCCGGCCAGAAAAAATCGGAGAAAGGACCAACTCTTATCCGGCGCAACGCCAAAAATTGGGAAACACCATCCCGCCACAGCTTCAATCGACGACGACGACGCCGACCGACGCGACCGGCACGAATCCCAGCGAACGAAAGACGGAGCGCAGTCAATTGAGCCGAGCTGCCTCTTCAACAGCCCCCGGAAAAAAACAAGAGAGAAATCCTCTCACCAGCCAACCACCACCCCCAGTCCGAGCCGCGCCCGCCCACCATGAGACCCTCCCCGATCCTCCAGGTGCTCAAGTTCAGGCACCTGCGCCTGACGACCAAGGACGTCAACAAGGGCTTCTACAAGGGAAACCGCACCGGCGCCATGGGTGAGCACACCAAGTACGGAGGATACAAGATCGACTACAAAAAAGTGCGGACGTACGTCGTCCCCGAGGGCCTTAAAAAATTCAAGGTTAGTTTCCCCAGGATTTCTACCATCACACACACACGGGGTGTCAAGCTCGGCAGTTGCTAACGTCTTCGAATGCCGCGCAGCTCACGCCTTTTGTTTCCGAGCTAGTGAAGCCCGCAGGACGAACGTACAAGAAGACCAACAACCCCGCCGGACCCCGTGACCCAGCACTGTTCCTCAGCACGTGGAAGGAGAAGAACGGCTTCGACTAATTTGCATGGACCGCCAAATGATGGCACGAGTCGAGCGACGGGGAGAAATGGGACCAATGCCGCCAGACGAAGCTGTGCCAGCGGACAGCGAAAGACGGCTGAGTTGCCCAAAAGATGTATATACCCTTGAAGCATTGTAACAATATGTAAAACGATTGCACGCCCAGCTTCGCTTATCCAAACGCTGGGAACATGCTGCACGTGAGGTATGCAAGATTCATCCAAAACTTATTTATACACATTAGGGTATTGCTGGTCTGGTCCGCGTGGATCACGCCGTCTGCTCGACTCCGCCGTTTGCAGTCTCTTTGCCTTTGCCCTTGCTGAGGGGAAGGTCCTCCGCCGCCGTTACGAACTTGTCCATGGGGGGCCGCTCGCTCTCGCCCGCCGGGGTTGGTTCAGGAGAGACCTCGGTGGCCTGGCTGTCCTGGACTTCTGAACTGACGTGATCTTGGTCCATGGGCGGCATGGGGCTGATGGGGCGGCTGTCGGCGCCGGACATCAGTGTCATCATGCTGGCCGTCTCTGCGTCCTTCTTGCCGAGGCTGAATGGCAGGGCGATGCCGTCGAGGAACGGTCGCTTGCCAGCCACCCCGGTTCCAGGCACAAATTCCGGACTGAGGTGGTCATTGACCTTCTCCTGCTCCTTTCTCTTCTCGATGAGAGCAGCGACGGGCGTCTCTTCCACGTCGGTAGCCTGAGAATCCAGGACCTGAGAGCTGGTGTTCTGTGACGTCTGATGCTCATCGACAACGACGCGCCGCTTACTACCGCTTCGCTGGATAGGTGCCGGGTCTTGCTGCTCCACGTCCTGGAACGACCTGGCCCCCTCGCCGCCTTCTTCCCTCGTCATGGACGTCTTCGCCCCCGAGTCCGCCTTCTTCTCTCTCTCCATCGTCATCTCGTCGTGCTTGGATCCCCAAAGCGACCACAGAGCCAGACCCAAGCTCTTGGTTCTCTTGCGGTCCAGCAGCTCATCCGTGGCTCGGCGTCGCCCAGCCAGAGCGGTTGGTGGCGGCTTCTCACCGTCGCCAAAGTCCACGAACCCGGCCGCCATATCCTTGATGATGTTCTTGTGCACCTTGGCCTTGGCGCCGGAGAACTTCTTATCAAACACAGCCTTCGTCTGGAGCCATCTCTTGACTGGCGTGGGCCTGACGACGCCAACCTCTTCCTGCTTGATGGTGCAGCCAGGCAGCTCTGACTCGGGAACGAGGTCGTGGACCACGCCATGCCGGGTGATTCTTTGCCGAATCATGTGCTTCTTGAATGGCGGCAGCGGCATACCCGCCTTGCCGACTTGCTGCGGGACGGACTCGGAGCTTTCTCCTTCTTGCGGCTTATCAGACTCGGACGCTGAGCTTGAAATCACGCTAATGTCATCGTCGTCCAGAATCTCAATCTCTGTCTTCTGGGCTCTCGCCAGAGCCCAGGCGCCAAACTGCGCCACGGCCCGATACATGTACTTAGCCGGGCGAGTGAAGCTGAGTGTTGGGGCAACGTGGCAAAGGTCGTCCCACACCTGGAGCTGTACGTCGGTGGGCTTGTATTGCTCAATTTGTCGCATAGCTGCCTCGTCGAGGTTGGGGGGCGTGTACTTGGAGGGGTTCGCGCACTTATGGGCGAGATAGATCTGCTCATCGCGGAGCACCTCACCTCCTCCTACCATGATCAACAACGGAGGAAGACCGCCGAGCGTGGGTTGCATAATGGGGCTGACCATTGGGTGAGACAGAAGAGCATTCGTCGTGTACATCTAGAACAGTCAGTAGTGTTCCTCATGAACCCGAAACCACCAACCTGAATTTGATCCTTGACCGTGGTCAACTTGCCGTCAATGGTTACAGAGAGCTGCAGGGCGGTCCTGCGGGGGTCTGCGTCCTCTGTTGGGTCCTCGTTGGTCTGCGAAGCACCGTTGACCGCAGTTCCCTCCGCAACGGGGTCCAAGGAAATCGGAGCGGCCTGCTTCTTTTCCAGCGTGTTGAGCTTTGTGGCGTTCTTCTCCTTGCCAGCCCTCGCCTTGATCGCCTGCTCCCTCATCATCGCCATGTCGTCCTCGTTCGGGGGCGGCCACGCTCTCGATGGCTTGTGGTGGAAGCCGGACGGCGGAATGTAGTCGAAGGGGTTGTCGCCAGAGACACTGGGAAACGAGTGGGAGAGGTCAACCCACGGGCTGATGAGGATCGCGCCGGCCGGGAGCGGGATTCCCTGGTCTCTCAAGATCACCATCATTGACAGAACCATGCCGCCGCCTGCCGAGTCGCCGGCCAGAACAATCGTGCTGGGGTCTTGGACCGTGAGCAGGTAGAGGTAAGCGGCGAGACAGTCCTGCAGCCCGCAGGGGAACGGGAATTGCGGCGCCAGGCGGTATTCCGGTGCAAACACTCTCGCCTTGAGCTTGCGAGCATGACGCTGCATCTGGTAGCGGTGCTCGTCGACACTACCAAAGAAATAGGCACCGCCATGAACGTACAGCATCGCGCGCGTCGTCTTGCCATCGTTCTTCTTCCGCTCGTGGTAGTCGGACCGCATTTCGATCCACTCGGCCTTGAGAGGGCTGTTGGGCTGCCTCCATCTCCACCACTTGCGGCCACCAACAGGGTGAACGCCTCCGGGTCCCAATTGAGCCTCAATCAGTTCCGCGGACCTCTCGATGTGGTCCTCCGGCACCTGGGCATCCTCTACTTTGACCCATTGCGGATGCGGCACCCATTGGGCCGTGAACGCTTGCAACTCTTCGACGGTGTGCTGCGACGCGAACTCCAGAAAGGATCGGACGAGGTGCAGGCCTTCGTCGTAGGACAGGTGGGCGGTGGGCTTCTGTTTCAACGGGTTGCGGTTGAGATACTAGCGGGACGGACGATCAGCTTACGGCGGCCCGTAGATTCCAGGTTGCATTGATGCGGAATCTGGGGAAGATGGATCGGGGGGTAGGAATGCTCTCACATGTGAAAAGAGGGTGGAGACGACGGTCGGCGTCACCGCCAACGACACCGACGTGGTGTTGAGCTTCAGGGGGTTCATGGTGACTACGTCTTGATGAGGCTCGCGACGAGGACAGCTGCTGTGCCGTCGGCAACGGCGGGCATGGAGCTTTTTGAAGCTTCCGGGGTGATTGGCAGGCCCGGGGGACAGACCATCACGTCGTGGAGGAGCACAGAAGAAAGCTGGCCCTGAAACCGCCCTCAAAGCTCACTGCCGGAATAGGGGACCGATGACATCACGCGGAGACCAAGTGGATGGTTAATGTCCGCGGTCCTGGTCAATTAGTCTAACAGTAGTTGGGCACGAACGGGCTGGGTTGGCGACTCAGGCAGTGAGACGAAAGTGACCGTGGGAGCTTAGCGAACATTCATCAATAATTTTCGAACGCTCACAGTGAAATTTGATCATGTTATCCTCAGCTTCTCGCCAGACAAGCATGCTGCTGGCAGCGGGACTCATCACGTATTCGGCAGCCCAATCTCGCAGCTCAGCACAGGACCCTGCCCAGACCTGAATGCGGACCCGGCGGCGCCCCACACACAGCCTTCGTCACAGTGTCGGGAGTCGCACGCACTATCTGCCCAAAAAATTGTGATTTTTGAGAATTGTCACCGAAATGGTCTGCCCCTCCAAGTACCCCGCGAACACCACAACCAGTCAACACGGCAACCATGGCATCTTCCAACCCTCCCACGGCCGGTCAGTCGAAACACGTCGATTCCCTCATGTTTTTTGATCATCAAATGCTGACACATTGTTACAGAGGCCTGCCAGTCCACCTTTGAGCAGGCTGTGGCGCTGTCTCTGCACATGTGGCCGGCCCTCTCCCTCGCCGTCCAGAACCACTGGGGCGGCCCGGACTCGGCCGACAAGAGAGACTGGTTCGCCGGCGCTGTGGCCGAGCTGTTCCCGACCTACACCAAGATCGCCAACGGACAGGCCGTCCCCGCAAGCAACGCCATCGAGGAACCCGACACCGAGTACATCGAGACCTTCCTCCTCCAGGTCATGGTTGACGAGTTCGAGGTCAACGTCGACGACGAGACGGGCTTCGACGTCGCCGAGCGCATCATCAAGATCCGTGCCGACTGCGCCAAGGGCAAGTTCGAGGCCGTCGACGAGCTGCGCAAGAACTGGGAGAGCCGCAAGGGCGCCAAGGTTGACGGGCTCTACAAGAAGATTGAGGGCGGCGACCAGGAGACCGACTGGGAGGACGACAGTGAGGATGACGAGGATGGAGACGTCGACATGGACGAGGCGCCACAGCTTGTCGCTGCCCCCAAGGAGAAGCCGCAGCCCGAGGTTGATGAGGACGGATTCACAATGGTCACGAAGAAGAAGCGATAAACAAGCGAAGGAAATCCGACTTGGTCTCATGGAGATGGTGCACTAAAGGCCGCGGCTGTGATGTACAAGAGTCCGCAAATTAAGAGCTGCCATACGAGCCAGAAAAGAGTTCAAACCCGGGAACGCCAGCCAGCAAAAGCAATTCTTACGTCTACTACTCCCAGTCGGCGTCACTGTCGCTGTCGTCGCTGTCATCGCTGCTTTCTTCGGCCTTGCGCGCCTCCTTGGGGCTGTTGGGGGCGCGGCTGGGGACGCCCGAGGCGGCGCCGACGACGTCGTAGCTGGCCTCGCTATCGGCCTGGGACTTTTCGTCATTGGACTTGCGGGCTTCGGTGGGTTTGAGGGTGGATTGGGAGGTGGGGGCAGGGGGCGGCTGGATGGTGGTGGAGGACTCGGTCGACGGCGGCCGGACGGGCTTCTTCTGCTCGGCCTTGGGTGCGGCAGCGGGAGCGGGAGCGGGAGCGGCGTCGGACTCGTCGGAATCGGACTCTTCGGAGTCGGACTCGTCCCAGCCAACTTCGTCTTCGGCGGACGCGGCTGTGACAGTCGTCAGCATCACGGCATTCATACCTAGTCAGTCGGGCTCACCCTTGAGGAGGTCTCGGCGGCGGGCCTCGGCGGCCTCCATGCCGTGTCTGAGGAAGTAGTATCTCTTCCAGAACTCGGCGTACGGGACCTGATCGGGCACCAGCTTCTCCATTGTTGTCCGCAGCTCAGGGTATTTCTTCAGATCGTCACTAATGTCCCCAGTCTTGGACTCCACATCAAAAGTCTTGCCCCAGGTCGAAAACTCCTCCGTTGCGGGATCCGTTGTGAAACTCTCGGTGCTCGTGTGAATGACGTGAAGCTGTGCATCCTGCCTCGATGTGTGAATGACTCTCTTTCCCTGGGCGTCCTTGCTCTCGAACAGGACGGCGCCGCTCTGGTTGGTCGCGTCGGAGGGCGGCGCGATGCTGACCGCCTCTTTCAAAAAGTTGCTGATGTTGGTGCCGAAGCGCAGGAGGGCCTCGTCGGCAGCGTCTTCCGCCTTTTGGAGCTCCTTGAGCCTCCTCGCCGCCTCGGCGCGGAACTTTGTCATGTAAGTTTCCGAGTTGCTCATGGCATCGTCGGCGGCGGCGGCGGCCTGGTCGCGTGTCATCGTCGGCGTGGTCTGGTTATCGGCTTCCTTGCCCTTATCCCCGGAAGGCTCGCCCTGCACCGTGTTGACGGTGAGCGACCGGGTACGGTTGACGATGGAGGTGAAGCCCTTGGCGGCATCTTCCCCCAGCTCTGCGACCTCTTTGGACGCCTCCTTGTAGACGGATTGCCCCTGCCGCTGGGTTTAGCCGTTGCCTCTGGTGTGCACGCCTCGGCCGTCTTCTTACCTGCTTGACAGCGTTCCCCAAGAAGCCGCCGATCCTCATGCCCCAAGCACTCGTCGAGAGAGCCTTGTAGGCCTCCTGGAGGTCCTCGTTCAGCGACGCCTGCGGCTGGTCATTTTTGGTGTCCGTGGAGTCGCCCTTCTTCTTATCGGCGTCCTTCGGGAGGGCGCTCTCCTGGATGTGATCGTAGGCCAGATCCATGGCAAGGCTGCAAAGTCCAAGCTGGAGTCGACGCGGGTGTTGAATCGGGTGTTCGATGGTCCGTTGCGAGGCTAGGTAGCTGGTGCGGGCAATGTCGGATCGTGGAGGTTCTGCTCGATGTCGGCGGACGAATGGTCACTGACGTGAGGCTGGTGCTGTTCCTTCCCCCTGATGGGCGGGGTCCATGGCCGGCTGCATGATGGTCAGTGCGGGGAGTCGTGGTACGTCCCGCACGTGCGCTTGCGTCTATTGCACGATAAGCAGCTGAGCATTCCACCACTGGTCGACTCGAAAGCAGCTTGGGAAGTGCTCAGTGAGATTGAAATGTTCGAAGCTACGTCACCGTTGGAATGAGATATGGACGCCCGCGCCGAGAGGGTGGTTCTGTCTGCACGAAGGGACCTGCAACAGAACTTTGCCGGACTTGGTTCACTTACACGACGATTTCTCTGACACCAGCGCCTTCACAACGGCGGCAGCTTACGGCTTACCCTGCGCGACACCTTACCCCAGACCCGAGGCGGCAGCGGGAGTGTGGTGCCTTTCCGAGTGGCAACGGAGTTATTGCAACAGTGCCGTGGCTCACGTGCGCTACGATGCAATTCAGAAGCCGCGACAGTAGTCGAAGACGGTAACAGCAGTCATTGGCTTCAGACCGTTGCATTCTACACCTTCAACTTGGCTGAGACAACTCAACTGATCCTGTCCTTTACAAAGGTGCACCCAGCAAAGGCTGTTCGTTCCTTCGCGCCGCCGCACGGGGCCAAACCCCTCGCCATGTTCCGAGGCTTATGGTGTAAGCTTTTCGGATGGGGCAGTTCGGGTCTAGACGCCTTCTCGGGCGTGGCGATTTATGCAACCAAGAGAGTAAGCAGGCCGATCATGTTGTGGTCCCTGACCAACAACAGTCACTAGGAATCGCGCTACAACGGCACGAGAGGCACGAAGGGCGCAGAGTACAAATGCAGTCATGCCGGGGCGGGTTCGTGCCGCGAACTGCGTCTGTTTCCTGTCCCTTTGATCCTGGCAATTGTGATGGCAGCAAACACCGAAAAGTGCCATTTGTCATCCGGATGCTCAAAGCTTCCAACGACTTTCCCTGACAACCAGAGCAGATCTTGCGACTCAAGGCCGTGGCAGGAACCCGATCAACCAGATCTGGCCCCTTTTTTAACCAACACCCGTTTCTCGTTTTTCTGGAGAACAGTTGATCAGGGCCAAGACGGTCCCACGGCCATAAACGATTAGAGTTTCGGCCAGTCACGCCAGTCTCCTACGCTTCTGGGAGTGGGAAGCGTGAGCCAGAGCATGGATTGCTTGTTGTCCCATGGCGTGGGAAGAATGGCGGTTTTGGCGGTGTCTGGGGCGCGACGTAGTACCATCTCGGAGAGGTATCGGCGTGGTTACACTGCACGAGAGATACCTCTGGTGGATAGCCAGATAGCACGGCTTTTGAATATTGGGTCAGCGGATTTACGCAGTAAGGCTGGCATGACCCTGACTCATAGCCAGCCGGCCGGACGCGCCGTTTGAAGAATTGGCAGGCTGGGCTAGTGCTGCACAGCCCGTACAGTGAACAGACGGACGAGTGACGGCACGGTGAGCACCACTGACCGCAGTCTCGTCCTTGGGTCTTGGCCGACGACCCGCCACTCGCATTGTTACGCAACGAAGAGCGTACCCACGTCATGCGACAGACTGGTGATGGCGGGCCGAAGCTGGTGTAGTGTGGCCGTCATATTGAGATGTCAGGCCGGTGCGGGGGAGTCCTTGGACGCGAGATTGCGAAGTCGCGATGGTCCGATATTCGTGTGGATGAGACGGAAACGATGGACGAGAGGGAAGACGCGAGACGCAGCGGTTGTAAAACGCGGGCAGTCTCTTGATGATATTCGTCCGGCGGAGTGCTGTCATGTAAGTGAGTGACATGGAGCCTCCACTCACCCACCACCGCTTGATGCTGCGGGCGGTGCTTAGAAGACGGCTATCCCCAAAACAGCAGCACGGAAAGCAGGAGGCAGCAAAGAGGATGCGTGGCCAAACCGATGAACATGCCGTTTTTAGAGAGATGAACATGCCGTTTTTAGAGGGATGAAGGGCGGGTTTTACAGGGGACGCGAGCTGGTGCCTTGGACTTGGCGGGTTGAGGTGACTTTTGTCCTCGAGTGGGCAGGTGGCAGTTCACACACACTGGTCAGTCAGTGGTGACACCTGGGCTTCACAGTGTTGGGGCCGGGAGACCGGATTCCCATCATGGGCAGACTGGGGCAAAGAGGGGCCAGGTCCAGGGAATTGGCGAAAACGACGGTGCAGTGTGCTGCTGTTCGGCGATAACGGGGCTTGCGCGCGCCCTCTGCCAATGGAAGCGTCAGAATACGCCTCGGGGCCCCGACGCCCATCCTCTTGAGTCTTCCCTCCCCCCCTCCTCCCCTTGCCAATCGAGGACTGGCGTAGGGCCCCGTTGGAGTCGAACATGACGGCTGACAAATTGAAAGGGCGCTGAATCTTCCCCCTCACCGAGTGCCGCCGTTCTATTCAGTTCCACTTCACTTTCTCACTGGACACGGCGACCAAACCAACACCACCAACCGCTCGTCCTCGCATCACGCACACCTTTCCCCAAGCACGTCTTTCCCCGAATCCCGTGGAATCTCTGCATCTGCATCCCATTCTTGTTGTTGAGAAATCTGGTGGCCTGGCGACCGCCGTGTGACTCAGGCAGCAACTTTAAGGCGGAACACGCACCAACTCTGCACTGGACCCCAGCTTTTTTGCGTCACTCCCCAGCACCACCGCAAGCACCACCACCAACAGCACCGCTGCTGCGACCAACAATCTCCATACGCCTTTGCCTCCTACACATCTCGACGGCGAGTTTGGCGTCTTGTATTGCCGAGTGCACCACGCAGGCGTCGCGACACTGTTGAACAACACCCAGTCTCCCCGCGATACCATCCGTTGATCCGGCGGCCTGGACCCGAATCCCATCTTGACCCCGGCACGAGCCGCAATCGGCCTCCCGAGTTTACCTTTCTTCGTAGCCCTCCTGCACCGAATTGACTTCTCTTTACCTTCACCACTTCGCCCCCTCACGTACTCTTCGCAATGGCCTCCGCAACGAACGGTGGTTTCCCAACCAACTTCATCCTGACCCCGCAGCAGCAGAGCCTGCTCTTCGCCGCCCTCAACTCGAACAAGCAGCAGCTGGCGAACCAGTCCCCGGGCACCAAGGACACCTCCATGTCGCCCTCCTCCTTCCAGACGTCACCCGCCCAGGCTCCCGCCAACGGCTTCCAGGAGAGCCCCTATCTCGACAACTATGACTACGACTTTGGCGACTCCAGTTTCGACTTTGACTCCCTCAATGACCAGGGCAAGATGATTGGAGATATCCCGGGCACCGCCAAGTCCATCAAGTCAGATTCTACCGACAACGACTCCTCTGACAAGAGAGCCCACCCCGACGACGAGGACGACGAGTCCTCGCCAGGAAACGGCGCCAAGAGACGTGAGAGCACCGAGAAGGTGCCCAAGAAGCCCGGACGCAAGCCCCTTACCTCCGAGCCGAGCTCAGTATGTTCTGCCACCTCCTAGACCGTAGACAATCTCTCTAACACTCGTAAAGAAACGTAAGGCCCAGAACCGTGCCGCCCAGCGCGCATTCCGTGAGCGCAAGGAGAAGCATCTGAAGGACCTCGAGACCAAGGTGGAGGAGTTGGAGAAGGCGTCAAAGGATGCGAACAGCGAGAATAGCATCCTCAAGTCTCAGATTGAAAAGATGACGGCCGAGCTCAACGAGTACAAGACCAAGCTCGCAGCCATGAGCACTCGCTCCGTCTCACACGGCAAGTCTCCAATGGGCTTTGGTGCGTCCGCAATCGGGAACCTCAGCGACGTCAACTTCCAATTCGAGTTCCCCAAGTTTGGCGTCCTTCCTGGTGCTGCCATGCCCAAGCCCGTCCAACGAACAGGAGCGTCGGCATCGCCTCACACCAACGGCAGCAGCAACCCCGTCAGCCCCCTAAACACCAAAGACAACAACAGCCCGCATATCATCCACGGACTGGACTTCAGCAGCACCAAGGACGACCTGGCCAACTTTACTTCGCTCTTCAGCAGCCCGTCCATGAACGGCACCAACGGCACCGCCACGTCGCGCGCCAGCGTCGACTCCGGCTCCTATGGCATGCACAACGGCACATCGACCAGCTCGCCATCAGCGTCATCCCAGTCGAATGCCGGTCCCAGTTCGTCCTGCGGCACTTCCCCTGAGCCGTTCACACAGTCCCCCATGGGCTTCAAGCCCGTTGATACGATGACCACCATCGGCGAAGAGCACACCGGCCAGCAGTCTTTGTTTGCGGGCATCGACACCAACAGCATCGACTGGCTTGCTCAGCAAAACGGCGGACAGTTTGATCCTCAGCTCTTTGGCGACTACCGCGAACCGCAAGAAAACATTCTCGGAGGCGGCACCTTTGACGACAGCTTCTTCAACGACGCCCTTGACGCCGACTTTATCACGCCGTACAACATGGCGCCCAGCCCCGCCGTGCCCAAGAAGAACCTCATTGACCAAATCGATGCCGCCAAGAATGCCGACGATGACGTGGTCAAGGACGCCGTCAAGGCCGAGAACTACAACTGCAATAAGATCTGGTATGTTGTCCCCCGACAAGCAAGTAGCACAGTGACTTACACCCACCCCAGGGAGAAGCTGCAAAACTGCCCAGACGTGGCGAGCGGCGAGTTCGACCTCGACGGACTCTGCTCCGAGCTCCAGAAGAAGGCCAAGTGCTCAGGTCAGGGCCCCGTCGTGTCCGAGACGGACTTCCAGGCTGTTGTCAACAAGTGGATGGGCAAGGACGTGGCGGCCTGCTTCGCGGCCCAGAACAAGACAAAGGCCTGAAGGACCAGACGTCTCCATGTACATTTGCACACGTGCCCACGGCAACAGGTCAGGCGGTCAGGTTTGGAAGCATATCAGGATTAGGTCGGTTTTTCTGGGGACGACAGGCGTTTTAACACGGACCAAAAACAAGGGCGGACGTAAGCTTCCGACCCGGGGCAAGGCGAATGGTTATTCATCAAACACCGGAATTCTAGATGCGGAGCAGGAGATCCGGCCGAGCGGCTCATAGGCCCTGGCCTGTTTCCGACTGGAAAACTCCCATTGAGCGACCGAGAATGATTTTGGGAAGGCTACGATGATGAGATTTGCGGCAACCACGACGGTTGTACGTCAGGGGTCGGCATATAGGGGTTGGTTTTTCTTTGCAGATGTAATATGCTACTAGTATAGGCTAGTTTGGTGTTCCAAGGATGAATGAGCGAATGAGAATCTCCACGTTGGACTTACTCGGGTGTCTCGTCAGGATTGGTTCTCGGAAGAACTGTTTGTATGTGCTTGAGACGAGTACTGCAGACGAGTGCTTGAAGTGAAGAAGATCAAGTCCCACGTCGTTCCAACGGAGCTTCCGGCCAGTACGGAGCTTTAAACGGAGCAGCTCCTCCGCGGCGGATGCCATCAATCTGCCATGCCAGGGGCCCGATAAGCACCCTCGGCCCGTCTCCTACAAACGATAGACCCGGCGCGCGCGAGCTAGCGGTCAGCCTCCTGAACTTCCTGCGCCCGCCGTAAATCTAAGGTCGATAGCTACCTATCAATAGCGTGGCGGGAACAAGCCGGCCCTCCTTTCCCCCACAGATACTGGCGTGATGTACATATTACGATTCGTAGTAGTCCAGAACTGCCCCAGCCCGAGGTCTGCGGCCGCCCCACACCCGCCCGCATCCGCATCCCGCATCCGAATTCTCCTTGGCAGCAGAACTCCATCATGCGCTCCCTGATGCTGCTGGAAACATGCGGGGAGGGGAGGGCAGCACGACATGACACGACACGACACGACACGAACCACGGACGGACGGCGTTCGGCGTTGCGACTGTCTCTCGCGTTCGGTCTCTGGCGGGCGGTCGGAGACGGGGAAGCGGATTTTGGGGATGGGGCTCTTCGGCCGAGGGCGAACAGGGTCGGATCCTGCGCCGTTGGACGTTGCACTCTGTCACTTCCCCCCCCCCCCCCCCCCCCCTCGCACCGGGTCCCTTTTTTCGTGCGTGATTCCCTCCCCTCAGGCTGGCTTCCCCCTTCCTGATCATGTACAGGACACGCCACATTAGGGTTGTACGGGCAGAAAGGCGGGGGGAGGCCGGTATTCTGTTGTGTGCACATGCCGCCAGGGGGGGGGACGGACCACGGAGCAGAGAGAGGTCCCCCCAACCACCACCACCAGCAGCGGCATGTCGACTGTGAGCACCTTTTTTTTTGACGTGGGGAATGCTGCCTGCCCAGCCGCCACCCCATGGCATGGCAGGCAACTAGGAGAATGGATAGAGCGGCACGTGGGAGAAGGGGGCAAAATCGTACGAAGAACGAAAGGAAAAGATGGCACACGGCAGAAAGGATGGGGAGAGGGGGTGATGCTGATTGCGCTCACGGTAAGGATCATGTTGCGATGAGCGGTGTGTTACGCGGCACAAGCTTCCCCCTCTCGTCTACCGCTCACCAAGAAGCAAAGGAGTAGTCCATGGTCTTTTCTGTTTTCTGCTCCGGTATCTATGACTGCGTTTGTGATATGCTGCCTATTCTTCCAACCCCCGGTCTAAACCCAAACCCGGAACAAGCCTCCTAGGTCCCCCTTCCCCTCACCAGGAGGCGAAAAAGAAGGCTTCTGCCCGTAAGAAGAAGAATCACGAGACTTATCAGACCCCTTGTCGAGTCACTGCTGGCTGTTCTGCCTGCCTGCTCAGTCGGCTCGTTTCCAGGGCTGCCCCCCAGCTGCTGCCGCCAAGGCGGTATCGACTCGGCAATTGAACAGAAGAAAGCAATCGCCCCTCTGCCCGCACACCCCAGGTCCGTATCCTCGGGTTGCGATGCGGTGCGGTGCGGCCAACGTTGCGTCCTTGTCGGATGGCAAGATGGAAAGTGGGTGGTGGTGGGAAGGGGGCGACAAGAGGGATCTGCAGGTGTGCAGCAGCAGCCCTCCCACCCCCGAGTTTCCCCCAAGACCACTTACCGGTTGCAGCGTCCCAGCCGACCAATGGCGACCCCCGGAACCGGGGACCGACTTGCTTGAATCGTCCAACGTCATCCAATCCCCGTCCGGGGCGAGGAAAGTATCGCAGCCAAACGGACCAGACGCACGTTGCTCGAGGCAAGGAGTTATTTTGCATTGGTTGGGGTGATGCGGTAACCTTGTGGCAGCAGTAGCCTCGAACGACTGTGACAGCACGTGGGGAGAGCTGGTAGAGTATTGGCCTGTGTTATTACAAAGGGTATATTCTTGCTTGATGAGTTGTCCTATGTCACTTTGCTAATCCACGCTCCATACCGTCTTTGATGCTTCATGAATTTGGTTGCCCCTTGGTGTACCTTATCCTCCTGGAACCTTGCGATGAAGTGAATCGAGACAACAGCCTTGGCTCCGGCCAAGGGCGGCAGCGCAGAGACCATTCTGGTCGTTTGCACACGGCACAGGCCGTCTCGCCTCCTGCCTGCTGGTGCCCGCCGACGAGGCCCGCCAAATGTGACATGCAGCCCGTGCCGTTGTAGTGCAGCCTCTCCTCTCGGGACGTCGCAGCGTCTTCACACTGCGACTTTTGTGTCGCATCCCTGGGCGAACGGGCACTAGGTTTGCCAACCATCGCCAGGACGCCACGGCCTGGCCGTGTCCTTCGTCCTCGACTCTGCGGGATCGTGGATACGGACCTGATGGTCCCCTTCGAGCTTTGCTGAGTTTCTCGGGTATCGATCCATCCTCGTTGCGTCTGTCCGTCTCTTCAACCTGTCCCCTATCGTCTTCTAGCCAATAACCTGCCTGGCGCCCTCCTTGCCCAAAACTCCCCTTTCCTTGGGCTTCGGGCTGTGTCCTCTTCCCTTCTTGCCCCTAAAGAAACTGAATACTCCGCTTGAGCTCTCCGACTTGCCATCGCCCGTGGCGTTGGCGTCTGTGGGAAGCGTGGCGTCCTGCCGGGCGAGTTCTGACCAACTACCGCCTCCGTCCAACGTGACTGACATGCCGCCGGTTGGGCTGGTGACGCGCTTTCCGATCGCCGGCGGTGCGGCTCTCTGGTTGTGGTACTCGTTGGGCTGGTAGTGCGGTATCGGGGGCGGCTTCACGGCTGGCCGGCGGGGCACGCCGCTGTGACTGCTGCCGGGTCGTCTCTCCAAGCTCGTGCTCTTTCGTAAGGGTGCCGGGGGCATGGTGTTCCTCCCTCCGTTGGTGGCCATCGCGGCGGGGGTGGCCTCGTCGGTGGTCAATGCCTGGGGCCCGCTGTTGGGGTGTAATTGATTCATGTCGCCGTTGGGGAATCCTCCTTCTTGCTCGGTGATTCTATGTACGTTAGCCACGTCAGGATATATGGGTTCATCGCAGCCATACTTCTTGTACGCGGCGAGTGTGTAGTCAAACGGCCGGAACTCGTTCTCAATCATGCGGTAGAGCTCGTCCTCCCTGATTTCCTTCTCCGAAGCGTCCTCCTTCAACCGTTCGCGGGGCTTTTGGCGTCTGGCTCTCGCCTCGAGGGGGGCCTCCTCCAACAGGAGCTCCTCCAGGTCGTATGTGGCGTCAAAGTTGGTCTTGTCAGCCGCCGGCACAAACACAGGCTCGATCTGCTTCCGCTCCAACGCTTCGAAATCAATCATCATGAAAAACTCATGCTTAGTGAAGCTCTCCCAGGTGGCACCCATCCGTGTGTCGCGGTTCGGGCTTAATGCGTCTCGGATGGCGTATAAACAGGGAAGGCTGACGGCGGGCTGTGTGACGGGGTATTTGGGATTCGCGAGCTGGATCTGCTGGCTGAGGGTGCTTTCTGAATTGCCGTCGAATGGCCTCTGCAGGACGTTTAATCACAATATCCGAAGTCTCGATAAGAGTAGACCCACCTTGTTGTAGATGCACTCGTAGAAGAGAACACCCAACGACCACCAGTCTGCACGGACATCGTAGCCCTTGCCAGCATAAACTTCGGGAGCGAGATATGCGAGGGTGCCGGATTTGCTAGACAAAACCTTGCCGGGCACGATATCCGAGGCAACATTCTTGTCCAGTCAGTATTTCGCTTCCGCCGGCAATTGTCAGTCAAAACTCACAAAGTCGGTCAAATGCACGTGGCCGTCTGCGTCGAGGAGGACGTTGTCGGGCTTGACGTCGCGGTGGATAATGTTTTGCTGGTGAATGTATCGGAGCGCACATCCTAGTTCGGCAATCCAGAAGCGAACTGCGTCTTCGGTGAAGGTCTTTCTCGAAATATGAAATCGGAGGTCGCCGCCGCTCATCAAGTCAACAACCAGATACCTGGAGAGTGGTCAGCGAGAGGCATCGTCGGGCAGCAATGGCGGGGCGGTCCCACATGTATTCGATGTCTTGGAAACTGTATCGCAGGTTGCAAATGAAGGGGTGGTTCACGTGCTCGAGCATCCGGCGCTCTCGTATGATGTTCCGCACGCTCTCTGATCGTACGACTGTTTGATAAAGGCAGTATCAGCATCTAGGTGATCCTATGGTGTCGTGCACGGCGTCCCATCGGGGCAGGAGGATGCCGTGCAACGAGGCGGTGTGTGTGCGTGTATGTACCTTCATCTTTCCGGATATACTTCAAAGCAAAGGACAGGTTCGTGTCTTTTCGCTCGACGATGCGGACCTTACCGAAGGCGCCTCGACCGACGACTCGTAGCAGGCGGAAATGGTTGAGGTTGACTGCAGAGTGGAAAGATGCCGGTTAGCTTGGCGATGATCGGGCTGGTGGTGGGGAGAGGCGGCGGCGGCACGCAGAGCGGTGCAGTGCAGCGCTGCGCAGCGTGGTGGTGAGGCGAGTGCTGCGGCAAATGGTGGTTGCCGCCGTGCATTCAGCGACGGGACAGGACAGGACAGGACAGGACAGGAGCGTCGGGACGGGTCGAACAGCAAGCAGAGCTGTGTGTAGATAGGGTAGGTAGGCTGGGAGCGAGACATACCTTCGCCATCCAAGTCGATGGGCTTGCCCTGGCTATTGCCCATTGCGACGTGCAGTCGTCTTCAATGGCTCTCACGTCTGCACTGGTTGGATCTAGGGAAGACAGTGTCGACTGTCGCGCACCATGATCCAGACGTGTGTCGTTTTTTTGGGATGAAGGTGCCGCAGAATTGAAATCGGGGGCAAAACGAGAGCGAAAGGCAATGAGCGGAGCGAGAAAGAGAGACAGAGCCCAAACCAGCGAGAGAGCAGCAGATGGAGGCAGATAGATAGGAGTGGAGTCCGTCACAGTCAGCTGGCACGGGGTGACAGGGGGATGGCACCGTAGGAGGGCCAGTTGCTTCGAGTGATGGTCTCAAAATCGGGGACTCGGTGGAGGATTGGAGGGGATGGGGGTTCAAGGTCAAGGAGCGAAGGGGAGACTGAGCTACGACCAGCAGACCTGAATTGATTGGGAGTAGGTATGTAGACAGACGGGAAAGACGAGGAGAGAGAGACTGTGTGAGAGCGAGCGGGAGAGAGAGGACGTGGAGCAGAGCAGAGGGGAGGGGGGGCCGTCGTTCAGTGGTCAGTCAGTAAGTACGGACCAAGCAAGTGCTGGCCAGTGAGAGCAGCGAAAGAGAGTGGCCAGTACCGTAAAAAAGGTACAATGCGAGTAGTGAACAGGGCCGCCGGACAGGGCAGGCAAGCAAACAGGGCGGGCGGCGGAGGAGAGGACGGGACAGGACAGAACAGACTCAGAAGAGAGCGGAGGCGGGAGAGGACGAGGGTAACGGAAAGAAGAAGGGATGTGCTACTTTTTGTCTTTTCCCTGTTTCGGGGACCAGGGCTGGCTGGAAATAACATAACACAAAAAGACGAGACAGAAGAAAAAGGAGAACATGTGTGTATTTAGGGTGATAGGTAATTGTTCGCCTCTTGCTGGTCTGTCTGATGGTCTGCCGTCCGTTTGTCTGTTCCCCCCCAGCCCAGGGGAGACAAGACAAGGCCAGGCCGGACCGGACCATCTACAAATCGAGCAAGCAAGCAAACAACGTCGTCGTTGTTGAATGGGGGTACAGGCACTAGGTACCCTTCCTTAGCCACAAGTCTCGCTCGTCTCCAGGGCACTGCTCGCAAGTCCAGAGTCCAGAGTCTGTGACTGCGTACATACATGCATACACGGCAATAGCAGCTACGTACACTACTTTACATCCCAGGTACGATACGGGCGAGACAAGCGGCTATCTTGCGGCGTACGGTTCCGTCCCTCTGTTAGCGCACCTGGGCTTAGGGTCGAGAAGCAACTGCTCAATGGGTTTGGTGTATTTGAGTTGGCGTCGGCGGCAGCGTCGCTGTGCCTGTCGGTGCTGTCCAGCGAGGAACTATCCGTACCGCAGCAGGTAGACTGTCGGTCTGCGTGGCCATGCGAGATATCTCAGCCGTGCACTGTCTGCCGGGTCACCTTTACGACGCCGAGGCTGGCCTGCTCTGGGCCTCTGGCAGGCACTCCAAGTACATGTCAATTTGGTTTGCAAATTATCGGGACGGACGCAGGATCGGTCGGTAATGTAGGTCAAGTAAGGTTAGGCCGGCCTAGCGCGGTGCTTGTTGCTGTCGCCGCCGCCGTGTGTGGTGCACGCAGTACTCTACCTAGTGCTGTACTCTGTACGGCGGGTTGTATCGCAGGCTGACGCATGTACCAAGCGGTATGGTGCCGTGGGCTCAGGTACTGTGTCCCGTCTCCCACGTTTTCTGGTGGTGGTCGTCGTCGTCGTGGGAGGTGGGCGGCGGATTGCTTGCGTGTGGCAGGGGCTCGCAATTGGAAGTGGGAGCCATTGTGGGAACCGACAGGCTTGTGCAACGAGGCAGGGATCGGTGGCTCGCCAATGGCGAGGGGGTTGCTGGATGATGGATGATGCTAGTAATTAACGAAGCAACTTCACCATCCCTGACCTGCAGACCGACCGACGATACCCTGTCGAGAGTCTCTTTGCTTTTTTTCCTTTCTTTTTTTCCTTCTCTTGTTCATATCCCTGCCTGTCTGCGTCTGCATGCGGAAAAAGGTTAGCTTGCTTGCACCTGGGGCCATTCGGAAATGCATGTCCAACTCCCATGGTCTTGATATGCAGAGGCAGCAGAAATCGGGTCTGGGCAGCAGAAGCAGCGGGAGCATCAGAAAGCATCAAACTCTCGTCGTCAACCGCCCGCTGTTCAAAGACCGAATAGCATACAGATGCCGGGACGATTGAGCATGGCCGCAGCACGCGGAGACAAAGATGCATCAGGTTTCAGGTGATCTGGTCGAGAAGTCTGCCAAAGAGGGCAAGGCGTCGTCTTGATGTCAGGCACCTTGCATCTATCTATGGCTCAGCTCAGGGCAGGCAAACAAGATGGTTTAGTCAGTATAGGTAGGTGCGCCTGGGGTTGACGGCGAGACCAGCCGTAAGCAATCCGCAGCAAGTTCAGGAATGGGTGTCAAGGGTCTCGGCGAGCCAGGTCCAAGGAATCGCTCCTTCGTACGGAAGCCGGCATGGCAGATGAATGGCTGCAGGACAATGCCGTGGTGGTGTCTGTAGCGTCGTTGCCGTCTCCTCGTGGCTCTGGCGCGCAGACCGTAGCAGCGTAGCTCGATGAACAGCTTTCCAGAAGCGAACAAGGGGGAAATACATCTCGTGGCATTCTAGATTTCCGCAGGAGCTTGTCAAAATGCCATCTGCCACCCATCAAGCCACACGAGGTTGTAGTATGTGGTCCAAACTCCCTCCTGCAAAGCGAACGTGTATCTCCACGGCACACGACCATTCTCAACTCCCCGGGATGTTGTTTCTGTCGTCGTCGATCGTCCGTCGTCGCCCCGCGTCTCCTCCCGTCGGCCTCGTTTCTGTTGCTCGGCCCACGTCGAGTCGTGTCGACGATGACTATTGCAGTCTTGGTATCTTGCGCATGATTCAAGGGTCTCAGAGCTGCAGGCCATCTCAGCCCGGGTCGTAAAATAAGGAACGTGGAGGGAGAAAAAACACCAACCGCCAAGTGAGATGTGGATGTTGGAGAGTCCGAGCAAAGGAAGCAGCCGGGCGACTACCGCACAGGTACCCGCAGCGCTGCAGAGTCCCTGATTTTGCGGCGCGGCGGCGTCCCCGGCGCAGGAACAGCACGCCCAAGGAAGAGGGTAAATCAGGGAGCGAGCTCACCAGCAGCATCCTCACGGCCGCTAGATGCGCGCGAGTAGCGGCTGCCGGACCGCTGTGACGGAAAAGTAGCCGTATGTACCTCCAATTTACCCTCATTTCTTGAAGGCTGAGGGACGTGCGCTGAAGTAAGATTGTCTGGCTGTTCCTGGCCACCTGGCTCTGGCTGGCTCTGGGCAGAAAAGGCAGTTGCAGGGCAGTTGCGGTTGCCGCCATCACAGTTCGAGTTGCAAACTATGGCAAAACCGCCTCAGTTCCGCTGCTTGACGTCCGGGAACTTTCCTCTAGAGATAAGGTACCTAACGCAAGGTACGTGACATTTTACGAACTGGCCAATGGCGTCAACCTCGACTCCGGCTCTACCAGCGTCTTTCCCCGTTGCGCAGTCTTCAGAGTCCCGACTCTGCGACTCTCAGACTTTGAACCTGGCCGGTGCTCGACTGCACCAAACTCTGTCTTCTCGTCTATGGCAACACCAGCACAGCAGCAGCAGCATACCGTCTAATCACTTTGGTCTCTCGACTGCCGAACGCCCGCGCTTTGGAAACAAACGGACTAGAAGCGAACTGTCCTAGAAGGACAAGTCCGTACCACTAGCTGCCCATCGGAAGAAGCTAAATTGTCTCGCCAATCCGGGGCCTTCCGGCGACTGAGAAATGCCTCGAAACATGCCATAACCTGTCCAATCGAGGAGCCAAAACATTCTGGCCACGAGGTCAACCGCTTCTGACCCCCTTCTGCGCCTGCGACGGATCTCTGCCTAGTGGCCGGACGAACCCACGGCGGACACTCGGCTTGACCAAAATCCATCCAGCCAGCAAGGATATCGATGCCACCGTCAGCAGCAAAGTCAATTGTCGTCATGGCCTCCATTGCACCTTGTAAGGCGTGACGACCACGTTAACGGACAAGTCTTTGTTGAGCAGCTCCAAGCCACCAGGAACAGGCCACGCTGGGAAACCAACATCACAGCGTCGGCTTCGTGCTATGCTGAGGCACACTGTGGAAACGCAAACACACGGCTGGGAATCATGAAGCGTGGAATCATGGAAGCCTAGCGTCGATCTAGCGGATTTCTGCATATCGACTACTGACTGACGGACACAGTCGAACGTCCACGCCAACTCGCCCTGCAAACGGGCGGCGCACATTGGTGTGGCCGCAATCGGGAATAGATTGAGCATCCGCAGGACGGCGCATTAAGCATCCTTGCCAACCACGTGCGGCGAACATGATGATGAACCTCACGTTGCTTCTGCAGTTTTGCCGCACACATTGTCATTCTGACTTACCGTGCCGTCGAAGAAGGGATCCGTCAGTCCTGTCTTGCGGTTGCGGATGTCGCACAAGGGCCTCCCGTCTGAATCACATGGTCATTTCAGCGAAAACGCTCCGTGCTGGCGGCCATGCTCCGACGTCTTTCCGCTCTGGGGGGACAGGTCCGCACGACTCCGACTCATGGGTCGAGCTAAACATGCAAGAAATGTCGTCGTCGGCGCATCTGGCGGTTTCGCCCCACGAACTGCCCAGGTTGCACTTCTCAGGCCCAGCCAAGTCGGTCGTACGCCCGCTGCAGGTTTGGGATGGCCCCGGGGGAACGGTGCCCACCTCGACGAAAAGCGACATTCGGTTCCCGAGGCTCTGCCATCTGCGACGCGCTACACCCGCGTCTCGAGGATTGATCAGACTGCTTCCAAAGTTCTGGCGCGCTGATGGATTGCGCCGCCGCCCCCGCCATCCAAGGCCGCGGTCATCCCGCCTGCCAGCTGAAGCGCAGGGCTGGACCAATCCAAGACACGGAGCCCGATGTGGAACGGCAGCATGTGCGGCCTTCTGGAAAGATTCTGCCCCTTAGATTCATGCCGCCGTCCCAGATTAGCGACTCGTCTCTTTCCCGTCCGCCCTCCACCGGCCACGCGGGACTGACAAGACCCTGCACGAACATCAACCAACTCGAGACAATGCTGCAGTGGGAACCGCTGTCGGGGCAAGAAACAAAAAAGGCAGTCTTCCGTTTGACGCCACGCTTCGTCACGCATGTCAAACCAGGCACAGGTTGAAACGTTTACGATAAGTAAAGAGAAGCCACATATCCCGCCGGCCACGCCTAAAATAGACGAATCGTTGATGAATTGGAATCCCCATGGATAACGTAATTTCCATGTGCAACATCCATCATCCATGATGCAGCAAACAAACGGCCAACAGCACCGACAAACCACGACTGCAGCATCCCACTGCCGAACCCCGGTCCCCCCTTCCTCCCACAGAGAGATCATCCCAATTCTGCAGGTTCGTTTCAGATGCTCCGGATGGAGAAGTTCAGGAGCACACCTGTTCGCACTCGACGCCGGTCATCTCCGTCAAACGCAACACATGATCCCTTACTGGCCCCTTATTAACATTTGACAGCTGGCGATACTTTTGTGCACACGGAGCACACACATCTGTAATGCTAACACTTGCATCACACGCGACACGCCTGACTTTTTTTCTCGTCTAATCACGAGAGCTGTGGGCTTCGCGTCCAGGCATCTTCTGGATTACGCTGCTGATCCTGCAGATCGCATTCAAACCCAAAACACGACTGCCGCGACAGTCGGTCCTTGTCGCCTCCTTTGGCAGGCCCCATTTCAGGGGTGCGCACGCATATTGGCTCCCCCGCGCGTTTCTTGGGTCGTATTTGACTGACGTCTCGACGCGTCCACCAGGAGCCTCATTTCAACCTCCCCCCGTTTGGTAATATATTTAAGCTTGCTCACCTTCCGCATCGGATTCGTGGCGTTCTTGCTGACTGTCGCAGAGTCGCTGGCACATGAAGCCGAATGAAGACCTACGGCGCCGTACAACGTCCACCGCGGGCTTCCACGTGGTGACGGAGCAGCGAGGCCTGCGGTGCCCTGGGCTGGTTGCGCAGGTGGAACCGTCGGCTGCTACGGAAGCAGTAGCGAGTGGCTTTGAGGAGTGCCACAGTGGGATCGGCCGTGACGGCCGGCCGGCCATAATCCCTTTCTCGTGCAGAGGCGTCGTGGTGTGATGTTGATCCCCCGGCTCGCATTCCAGCGGCGACGGCTTCTTCCATTGCTTTTTGGGCAACATTCCTCCGTTGGGTCAATGCATCGGTGTCGTGGTTCAGCCGACCGACGTCGTCCACATGCATCCTCGTTAATGACAGGGCACTGCGGACGTTCCTACAGGTCAACCGTGTGAGCGAGGCCACCAGCAGCAGGCTCGCGAAGCTACATCCTGCGGGAATCCCTTCATCGTTAACAACATTACCAAAGGGCGGTTTCAATCAGATGGCCGCACTGGCCAGCGGTGGTCACTCGCGGCCTGTGCCGCAGCGTTGCGTCGTGAGGACAGGTCCAGACCGCAACGCTCATTTCACGTCTCATGCCGGTTCGCCAGCAAGTGCTGCGCAAGGGTCGAGAATGACGACCTTTACCATCCTTTTGCAAACTCGGGACGCCCTCACCGGCGCTGTGCCGCCTCCCGTTCCTCGGGCCAGAACGCACGCGAGCATTTCGGGATCTGTACACACGACAGATGCCACCGCGAGGCCTGTCTTGCCCGTGCCTGGCCAAGGATGTCAAATATCGTTACCGGGAGGCGCAAACGACGGTGGCTTGACGTGCTGCACCATGGAACAAAGCTTCAAAGGAGACGGGCAGGTCGAAGATTCCCATCAAGGGCCTTCTCTAGGAAATGCCGCCTACTTGCGGGACTAAGAGCATGCAATATGATTGGCGCAGGCTGGCCCCGGATCTGGAGAGGTGGCCCTTCCGCGCCACCCGAGATGTCACGAACCGCGGATAGCTAGCCGAGTTGCTGCTTCGGCCGAGACAACTGGACCCATTGAGGTGACCGATGGGCAACGCGAGGAAACATCTAAATGTCAAGTGGCATTCCCGGGGGCTGAAGGAAGCCTTCGTAGGGGCTGTGCAGTTTCAAAACATCAAAGATGCCGAGATTTGAAGCTTCAGATCAGAGACAATCGCATCTTGGAGTGGCATGGCATGCATGCCGGCTCGTCGTCTTTGAGGGATGGTCTGTCTTGCCTTGTTGTATAGAAATGTGACAAGGCATGCTTCCAATGTATGGAAGTGTGTCCATCATTCTTCAGACGTGCTGTACGGCCGACGGGGGCAAGACTGTCATATAACCCGGTGGGCGAAGTTGCCCCATGCGGCGGCGAGGCTCGACGGCCGAATGCAGCGCGGAGGTGTCACCGCCGTCCAATTAGCCCTGGGGATCATTTCGGAGGTGTCTACGACTCGGAAAGCGTTTCCCGCAGCAGCATGATTCCGGAGAGCATTGTGCGAAGGGTGAGACTCATCGGGGGAGCTCTCGGGAGCTGGCCCAAGTAGAGCTCCGGGAGGTAAACTGCATCACGGGCCAGTGCACCGAAAGAATTGGCCGCAATGCAGCGCGCAACATGCGTCAGGTTTGAACCGGCTCAGAGTGATGTGAAAATAAGCATGGCGACGAGCTGGGGGTGCGCCGCAACTGCCCGTCTCGTCTGTTGGACGTATTGATGACGTCACCGAGCCGAAGAATGATGGCACGTCGATGCAGCAGCTCCCACACGGTCGAAGCTCGTCACTCCTACACACAACAAACAAATCAGAGTTCACATCGAAGTTCAATTGACCTCTCTTAACTTCAATTCCACGAGAAAATCCTCACACGGTCCGTCAGTATGGCATTCCAAGCTCTCCGATCCGTCAACCTCCGCGCAGCAGCGGGCTCCCTGAGAGCTCCCTCGACAACACGCGCCCTCACCGGCACGGCGACCGCACGCCTGCCGTACAAGGACACCCAAGACCGCAACTCCATCAACACGGGCACCACGGAGGCGACCAAGTCGGGGCGCGACCAGGACGCCGCCAAGGACTCTGAGGCGTTTGACCCGTCCAAGACGCGGCCCGAGACGGAGCGCAAGGAGGGCAGCGACGAGCTCCACGCCTCCGGTGCGAATCAGAAGCTGTCGAAGCCGCAAGGCGAGAACCCGAGTGGAAAGGGCGCGGGCAAGGAGGTTAGGAAAGGAGGAAAGAGCGGCGGTGGCAGCGCCCCGAAGGCGGGTACCGCTTGAAGGATGAATACTTGGTTGGCATCATCAGAGAAGCATTGGCGTGTGTAAACAACATCATCAACAGCATCAGGACAGAGACGGCGTTTGTCTCGACATAATCATGATTTGAGCATATCTGAAGGCCGTGTGATGCCTTGTCCGCCGCCGTGAACGTTCCAACAGACTCCGAGGATATCAATGCAACCCCAACTCCAAACACCTTCGTCACCGCCCATTCTATTGCTTCCTCGTTCTTATGCGTACAGCCCGTCGGGATCGTCATTCTCCTCGTCATCCTCCACGACGATCTGCTCCTTCTTCTTGGTCAGGTCCTTCCGGCACATGGGACAGCTGCCCTTGCTGCGCAGCCAGGGGCTCACGCACTCGAGGTCGAAGCGGTGGCTGCTGTGGCACGGCAGCTCCACGATGAGGGGGTACTGGTCGTCGAGGTATTTTTCGGCGCAGATGGGGCAGGCCTCGTCCTTGCCGAGGGACTTTTTGGGGACGCGGTCGAGCGAGTCGAGGTACTCCTGGCTGACGCCGGGGATCTCGGAGGGCGGACTGTTGATGTCGGACTCGAGGGCCTCGACGAGGGAGGAGAGGAAGCGGGCGTTGTCGTCGTTGGGGGCCGTCGAGAAGAGGGTCTGGAACTGTTGCTGGAGGAGGTGGTACAGGGCGGCGGCGTCGACGGGCGTGGGCGTCGCGTGAGGGTTCGTGTGGCGGTGCTCCTGGGGCGACGAGGGGGCGGCGTCGGTCGTGAGGTTGGCGAGGAAGGAGGTGAAGGAGGACATGTCGATGCGGCGGGTCCCGGACTGGGTGGAGGGCCCGGGCTTGATGTTGTGCTCGACTGCGTGTAAGTCAGTATCATACGTAAAGGGTAGAGTTTGGTGCTGCCGGGGAGCATCTACCTTCGTACTGGGTGGCCATTGTGGGCGACTGTGTCCGCTGGTCGTTGCTGTGAATTGGAGAAAAGACAAGACTGGTGAAGATCGAAAAGGTGCCGTGCGGTCGGATCAGAGCAGCTTTTGGAGCAAGGGTGAGGCTGCAACGGCGATGATGTGGCTAGGCAGTCAGGCAGTCGTGTGGTGTCGCAAGTTCGGTCGGCGAAGGAATCGCTTGGTGAGGGGAAGGTCAAGGATGGCGGGGTGAAAGAGCTTCTGTGCTTCTGCTTCTAGCGCATGCTACAGGGATCAGCACCCCGCGTCGACGGCAGAAAAGTGTGGCTGCACCGCCGCCCTCGCCTCACCTTCCAACCTCCAACCTCACCGCAGCTTGTGCTTGAGGTGTTGACCTCACCTTGGACCCGTCGGCCGCCGCTGCCGAAAGTCTGTTGCAGGACTGGAGGTGGCTTCATCATGTGAAGACGTTTCTCGCAGATCTCTGTGAGCAGCTCGCAGTCTTTGGCCAGGCAATTGACGATTTTCACGGGAGGGCCGAGTCGACATTCCGCTCAGGATTCCGCTATGGAGCTCCAGGCCGGCGGAGTATCCGCACGTCACCTCATCTTTATCGCCGATGAGTGCTCCAAAGAGACCGGGGAGATGGATCTCGTTGCTACTTTGCACCGAAACACCCCACGGCCTTGGCGATGGCATCAGGGTACCTTGTCTTTGGGACTTGCGACAGAGGGAGAGCTGTTTTTTTCTTCTCTTGCAGCAATAAAAGATGAGGTCAGGCGCCGCGTCCAGTCGGGACAAATCCCAGAAGCCATGGATCCCGCGGCGATAAGGTAGCAGGCACGCCGAGCTCTCCGTCTAAGCGGAGTTTGCATGATCAGCTACTGCTGCGGACTTGCCAGGTTTCCCCCGACTTTTTTTTTTCTTCATCCCATCAGCGTGTATGTGTTGGTTCTCGTTGCTTCTGGTTTTCCGTGGGCGGTGCCGGATTTCCCTGGCTGTCTCGTCTCTGTGGTCTCGAGCTCCAAAATCCAGGGCGGAGAGAAGTCAAAATGAAGCGAGCGGTGCTAGTCATGAGCCGTAGCAGCGTACGTGCTCATTCATGCAAAGGCGGCTGCGCTGCAGAGACGGAACTCGCGAACCTAAGGTGGATCAACATCGCAGGTCACAGAGCGAACAGCTCCAGCTGATGTGTAATCCATGGATGGTCAGGGAAGCAAAAGCATGGCATGCATCGCCGTTGGAGTGTGGGGCATCCAGAGGTGTGAGACCGTGATAGAAACCCGCTCCGACCTCCCTGTCTGAGCTTAAAAAACTAGACCGTACCGACTCTGCTGCCCGTCGTCCTTTCACCCCTCCATCCCTGCCGCTACTCCTCCTCCGTCCCAGCTGCTAGTTGGAAAGCACCCGAGAGCTACTCTGCTCTGAAGTTACAGCCTTTCGTCATCTTCGAGCCCAGCCCTGCCCTCACACCCCAAAACACTCGAGCGAGAGCAACAGCCTCTACCAATCATCCATACAACCTGCTCCTTTTCTCAATTCCGCCTATCCCCTCATCTGGCCTCGTCGCACCCCCTCACGGCCTTGTCTCATCAAGCACACACAGACGTCAGGCCGTAAAGCAGGAAAAGGAAGAAGACGCAAGTCCCATAAAGCCCGGCCTCGACAGCATCAACCTCTCCCACAGACGTCCTGCCCTCTCTTCCTCTCTTCTCATTTCTGTCCATTCACACACGGACAATAAGGAAGCGCCGACAGCTGCAGCATCACAGACCAAATCGTCCTACCAAGCTACCAAACCGCCGGGTCTTCAACGGTCGTCGTATCATTCCCGCATATCGCTCACCGCAACCTTGCCCACCGCTCATCAAAGCAGCACCTCTTAAACTTCACTTTTTACAGAAACGCACACCATGGCGCACTCGGCCGCAGTCATCGGCTCAACCGGCCTCGTCGGATCCCACATCCTGTCGAACCTCATCAACTCGGAGGCCTTTGCCGTCGTCAACACAATCTCCCGCCGCCCCCCCAAGGCCGGCGGCCTCACTCTCAAGCCCATCATCGAGGCCGACACCTCCGCGTGGCCCCCGAAGCTCGCCGCCCTGCAGCCGCTGCCGACCGTCGTCTTCTCCGCGCTGGGCACCACCCGGGCCGCCGCCGGCGGTATCGCCGAGCAGTGGAAGATTGACCACGACCTCAACGTCGAGCTCGTCAAGGCCGCCAAGGCAGCCGGCGTCAAGGCCTTCATCTTCGTCTCCTCCGCCGGCACCCGCGGCGCCATCTCCGGCCAGGCACCGTACTCCAAGATGAAGAACGGCGTCGAGGATGCCATCAAGGAGGCCGAGTTCGACCACGGCATCATCCTCAAGCCCGGCATGATCCTCGGCCAGCGCGAGCAGGGCCGCGCCGGCGAGGGCATCTTCCAGAGCGTCATCAAGGGGCTGGGCATGGTCAGCCGGGCCGCCCAGGACAGCCTGGGCCAGGACGCCGAGGTCATTGCGCGCGCCGCCGTGCACGCTTCCGTCCTCGTCGAGCAGGGCAAGGCGCCCAGCGGCCTGTGGGTGATTGAGGCCCACGACATCGTCCGCCTCGGCCGGACAGAGTGGAAGCACGGCGCCTGGCCCCGATCGTAGAGTTGGAGTCAAACGATGTCTCTGGGGTGGTGGAACGTTACGGGAGCGATGAGTCGCTGCCATCGGCCGGCCGTCCGTCGGGAGAATGTCCTACCTGTGTCTTGTCGTCCCGCGGCTCATTTCCGCCGTGACACAACGCCGGCGAGATTTCTCGGGATCAATGGCGTTTCCATCGTTTCCCGTGGCGTGCATTGGCACCTTGCAGCGTGTTTCGTTCGGTGCCACGACGTCCAGGAGGTGAAGTCGTTGGTGTAAGTGCGTGGGCTTGTCCGGCTCGCAGTTGGCCCCGCCAGCCCCGGGTTTTCTACACTTTGCCTGTTCTTGTCAATATTCCTCGTTTCCTTCCCTTGTTGATATCCCCGTGTAAACGCTCCTGTATGAAATACCACCACTGTCTTTAGAGGTCAAGCCCAGGCAACGTTTTGTCCATTGGTCGTTTGTTTGAAGGGTTGTTAGTGTTGCAGCAAAATTATACCACGAAAAATACCAGTCTGCTGTTCCCGGAACCGAGCCGGTTGGACCTCCCGTCCCTGTGAAGCGTCATGCGGTGAATCATTGGACGATAATATGCATGCAATATGCAAGAAAAACAGAGGGTCAGACGGCTTGCCGCTCATCTCACAAACCGTGGATCTTCCGGCGCTCGTGCCCCACATCCCACTGCAGACCCGATCCGCCAGTGGCCGATCTTTAAACTGATAAACGGAGCCTTATCGAACCTGCCCGAACAGTGACCCCTCCATCACATCACAGCTGCGCTGCCCCACCACATCTCATCGGCGGCGACTCACTCGCAATCTCTCTCTCACGACCACCCTCGAGGTTTTTGCTTACCGTCACACTGCTTTTCGGGTTCGATCATCTGAACTTGCGCGCGCGCATCTTCTCGTCTGGGTCTTAAACACAGCGTCTCGCCCCCCGCATTTCAAGATTCACAGAGAGACACACAGGTGTCATATACTCAGTCTCACTCGTGATTAATCAGCACACACACACACAACACACACTCACCATGGCGGAAGAAACATCACGTCCCCTCATCGTCGGCCCCGACTCTGGCCCCGAGGCCCCCTTCCCGCTCAAGATGGAGGGCAAGGTCATCTCGGGCTTCGGTCGCGGATCCAAGGAAGTGAGTCCCACCCCTCCTCCTCCATCCCGCAGCAGCGCAGATCTAACCGACAAAAGCTGGGCATCCCAACCGCCAACCTGCCCGTCGACTCCTCGCAGACGCCCTGGATCGACGACACAAAGTCGGGCGTCTACTTCGGCTGGGCCTCCCTCGCCCTGCCCGCCTCGCACCCGGACCGCGTCGCCGCCGGCCACGGCCCCGCCCAGCCCACGCTCGAGTTCCAGCTGTACCCCATGGTCATGTCCATCGGCTACAACCCCTTCTACAAGAACACCGTCCGCTCCGCCGAGGTCCACGTGCTCCACAAGTTCGCCGCCGACTTTTACGACTCCCACATGCGCCTGCTCATCCTCGGCTTCGTCCGCGAGGAGAAGGACTACAAGTCGCTCGACGCCCTCATCAAGGACATCAACCTCGACTGCGACGTCGCGCGCGGCTCGCTCGACAGACCCGCCTGGGCGCCCCCCGCCGAGCTGCGCCCCGGAGCCGACAAGGCCGGCACGCTGGACGCGAGCTGGCTGGTGGAGCCCCTGCCCAAGAACTAGACTATGTTTTTCATGATCACGATGTCACTCGGAAGAAACCACGATATTCAGCGTTTAGAAATTCTAGAATTGAAAATATAAAACCTGGGGAATCTGTTCTTGTCGAAAAGGGGGCTTTGCTTGGGGAGGTGTGACAGTCCCTCCTTGCCCCTGGGGGTGGCTGAAGTGAAGCTGCGCGGGAGAAAAGGAGGAAAAAAAGAAACAAAATCGGCAGAAGCCCATGAATATGAACCGTTTACCCATCAAGCCCCAGATGCGCCGTCCGGCTCTCCTCTCTGCGATGGTAGACAGAGGAGAGCCGTGTGTTCGATTGGTTATGAAACTCGCAACCCGTTTCCAAACGCCTCCCATGCCTTCATATATGCCCTGGTCGCCCCTTTTTACACACACCGTCTCACACAGCCAGTTGATGCGGTTCCTTGTTCTGGTAATAGCACGGCAGGAACTGGAAAGAGTCAGCAGCCGACACACAAAACACACTCGGGGTACTCACATTAACCACGATCAACATGGGGATATCAAACACGTCTCGCTTAATCATCCAGCAGTACCGGCAGTCCACCTTGCCATCCTTTTCAATCTTGGAGATGCCGTGCTCGCCGTCGATGCGGGTGACGCGGTTGCTGAGGATGCTCTTGCGCGGGTCCTGCTGCGGCGTCATGTCGGACGAGGCGGCGGCCTCCGTCTGCTCCTTTGTGCGGTACTTGAGCACGCGGCACGTGCGGTTGACGCTGCCGCGGCTGTCGCCGAAGGCGAGGTGGGAGAAGTCGTCGTAGAACTCGACGACGCTGTCGTCGTCGAGGATCTCGGCGATGAAGACGGGCTGCTTGCGCGGCGCGCCGCCCTCGCCGTTCTTGATCTGGTCGACGAGCGCGGCGGACGGCACCTTGGGCGTCGAGAAGCCGGCGCGGCCCGTGTTGCGGCCGCTGTTGGTCGCCGAGGACGGCGTGCCGCCCGTGTTGACGTTGAGGTTCGGGTCGTTGCCGAGCAGGACGTCCTTGGTCCAGCCCGTGAGGGCGATGAACTCCTTGTTGACGGCGGCGATCTCGCCCGTGCGGCGGAGGACGATGGTCGGCGCGGAGCAGTGGTGCATGAACTCCTCGTACTCGAACAGGGTGCGCTGGAAGCACTTCTCCATGAAGATGAGGTCCTGCCGGCTGAGCGTCTTGGTGCACGCGATGAAGGACGGGCGGATGCTGGCGAGCGCCTTGGCGATGCGCAGCGTCCTGTTGGCGGAGAAGCGTTTCGGGAGGTATTCGATGAGGGCGTGGAAGCCGGCCAGGTAGGGGTACGGCTCCTTGACGGTGTCGTAGATGGACGAGGGGTCGCGTTGCCGCTTGCCCAGCAGGGAGTGAGGGCCCGACTTCTGGGGCTGGCCGGGCTTATTGTTGTTGTTGTTGCCGGCCTTGGGGCGCGAGGGGGCGGATATGGTCTGGGAGTTTCCAACAGCGCCAAAGTTCCCACTTGGAGATCCTTCAAACGTAAAGTTAGTAGGTTGCGGGCTGGCGGTGTTGTCTGTGCTTGGGCTATGTAGGCTTGTTGGGCCGGCAGCGATGGCGTAGGCATGTGGGAGCCCATGTTGCAAGTTGCCTTGTTGGTACATGCCGTTGGAAGACTGGTCTACACCCATGAAATCGTTGATCATACCGCTATCGTAGACTTGGCCAAACTGATTGTTGCCATTGCCAAAGACGTTTGTGGATCCAAAGTTGACCGCTTCACCACTTGGTCCGGATAATGAGCCGTCCCGCGGAGGGGTCTCCGCCGCGCCGGACGACATGTGCCCGAGCATGCCAAACTCCATGGCGCCGTACTGGCTGCCAAAGTTGAGCCCTTCCAGGTCAAAGTTGAAGATGGCCGGGTTGCTCGGGTCGAATAACGTATTGAACGGGTCGTTGGTGACCTGCGGCGAGATCATGCCGCCAATGGACCGGCCGTTGTTGCCGCCCGGTTGCGGGAACGACGGCGATATCGGCGACGGTTGAGCCTGGAACGGGAGGCCTTCGGGGATGGCGACGGGCGTCTGCTGGCCCGAGTATACGGGGAACGAGGTGGTGGAGCTCTGGCCAAAGTACGTGCTGCCGGCAGTCGAGGCCGTGTCCGAGGTCCCGCTGTGATGCCGCTGGCCGTTGGGGCGGGCCGGGGCCGCGTTGGGGTTGTAGTTGGGCCCGAGGACCGGCCGGAGAGCCTCCGGCGGCGCATCGTGGAGATACTTTGCCTTTTTGCGAACACCGTCCTGGCAGGCGTCTGCGAGCCCGCGCTTGATGCATCGCTGACAAGGTCGTTCATCTCCTATAGCCATCACATCAGCACAAGGTTTGGTCGCAGAAGACGCCGTATACGAGACTAAAGATGACATGGACCTCCAATTACCACGGAGGAGGGACAATCACACGAATTCACTTGACTACCACAAGACTGTCGCGAGAGCCGGACCCTGAGGAATCGAGCAGGAGCTTACCGCAGGTCAGATGGGCTCGTTGGCAGGCGAAACACGCCCGGCGAGCCTTCTTCCTCCTCGGCCGTGAAGGGTCCTTGGGATCGTACTTCTTCTTTACCTCGCCGTTGTTGTCGTTGCCGCTATCGTGGGACTCGGCCATCTTCTCGTCGTCGTCGTCTTTTACGGGCGTCTCGTCGTCGTACTCGTGGTCATTATCTGACATGGCATCCGAGACCTCAGTCCCGGGCTCCTCGAGGCCGTCCGGCATGTTGTCTTGGTTTTATATGCAAGCCTCTCTCTCTCCTCAGGCAGAACAGAACAGCGACAGCGGCGAGCCAAGCTTGCCGCGGTGACGGGCACGGCGCTGCAAGGCCCTGGTCCAGGACTGTTCCCTGGATGCTATGTTTGCGAAACCACACGGCTCACTCCCAGACGTGCCGTAATGTGCTTGGTGTCGCAGTGGCAGGCGTCGTAGAATAGGGAAGGGAATATGAAAATCCTCCTGCGGTCAGAAGTGAAGTGGCACACGCCGGGATCCGTCTCGTGCAGCACACGCGCACACACACACACACACACACACACAAGGTCAAAGTGCAGCACCGCCGTGGCTTGCTGTCTTCCCAATTCACCTACACCTATATGCGCAGGGGCGAGCCTTCGAGTCCGCAAATGGGAGTCGAGCCGGGTACAGTCTCCCGCGGGCCGTGGGGTGGAAGATGACAGGGACCGAAATAGGCGCTGTGCGCTCCCGCGATGTAGACGGGAGGCTGTTCGTTCCCTCTTTTCACCAGATGCGCAGCGGCAGCAGCAGCAGCAGCAGCAGGCAGGCAGGCAAACAAGCTGCAGGACAGGCCAGGGAAGACGAGGCGAGGGAAGGGGGCAGGGCGTTGGTCCCTCTCGGTGAGCTCGTATTCTCAGCAGTCAGGAGTCTCCAATGGTGTGGTGGTGGAGAGAAAAGAGGCGTCTCTTGTGCGACGTGCTCGTCACGGCAGGACTAGGACTCGATAGTTGGCGCAGTCGTTTGGAGACCGGTGTTCGCGTCGCGGACCACATGAGGTCACGGGGACGGGGACGGGGACAGGGTCGAGGGGCGGCGGATGGGAGACTGGCGGCGCAGGACCGGGGTGATGTGACGGGAGTTTTGAGAGGTCGAGGCGTCGAAGGGTGTCTGCAGGTAGCCGTGGCCCTCGTGCTTGCAAGAGACAAGCATCGACACACGGGCACGCGGACGGTGAGAGTGTTGTTGTCTCTGTGGGACGGAGACCTCGTAGGGCTTGCGGTCACGGTCGCCGGCGGAATTGCAGCGGTTTCGGGGGGAACTGTCGTCGGGGTCGAGGTCGGGATCGGGGGCCGTGATGTTTATCCTCGGTCGGGTGGAAGAGGAGCACGCGAGAGTGGTCGTTTTGGAGCTGACCGAGAAGAGCAGACGGGAGAGAGAGAGAAGGGTCGGCAAAGAGGTACCGTCGCAGCAGTAGCAGACCCCCGGCAGCAGTGGCTAAACAGTTTTACACCGGCCCAGCGAGGTATGGAATCCCAGCCTCGCTGCCGTTGGTCAAAGATTTGCTGCTGAGCTGCGTGCGGGGTTCTCTTGGAGAAAATGCCAGCCCGGCGATTGGCCGATCCGCCCATCATGTGGATATCGCCAGCCGGTGCCCCACCCTGTATCGGCTACTTGGAGAAGACGGGGCAATGCGCAGCGAGCACGCCGCACACGCCGTTCCTGGTACTTTTCACCTACAGTTTTCGCCAGAGTCTTCACCCACGGCCCGCCCACCGAGGAGCGCGCGCGTCATCCAGGTCCTCGGCATGTCATTTGCAGCGTCCCTGACTGTAGAATCGTCTGTACTCGGTACCGTGTACGTACCTCACCTCCTCCGCGCTGCCTGCCGCCGACCTGTGCACCGCGATGCAGATGGCAGGCCACTTGGACCTGGCCGCAGTCCGAGCCTTGGAACAGGCTTCAGTGTTCCTCGCGACGTGGACCGGGTTGGCCAGACCACGTTCGTGTTTCTCGATCTAATCTAGCATTTCTTATGTCAACGTCCTCAAATCTCTTCATCTCCGACAGTCAACGCTTAATAACAGTTACGACTCGCCGTCCCTTGGCTCCTTGGATACCCTCGTTTCTGTGTCAATATGCCCCAATCTGGTAGCACAGCATTACGTTAACGACGTCGATGCAAGCCACTCTATTGGACATCTGGCATTGCTGCTATCCAACCGCTGCATGTGAGATCCAATACGATCCACGGCCAGGTCCACGTCCCCCAGGTCAAGTCAGAGGTCGGTCAGCCTGCCGGGGAACCAAGCCGAGGGCCGAACCTTCCAACCTCTACTCAGCCCCTCAGCGAAACATGCCATGCTGCCTTTACGATGTGTGACTCCAAACACGGTCTCATGTCGACCGCTATTGCATTAACATTGGCTTAGCCGACGTGCCGAGCGTCGGTCTGCCTTCTATCTGCAGTCCAGCAACCACTAAAGGATGGGGGGGGTATCTTATTGCATGTGCGCACAAATCCAACCGCTCCTCTCGCCCGCCCACCATTGGCGGCCACTCGAACAACCTGCTCCTGTCGCGTCACCCACGAGTCTTCAGTCCGGATGCCTCGAGTCTGCCTCCGTCAATGACAGCCCAGGACCTCAGGGCACCTGCAGACGGCTGCTGCCGTCACGAATGACGATCGCCACGATCAACAGCCGCATCTGCTGCGCGCACTAGCCGTCCAGTTGTGCCAAGTGTCGTCGCAGCAAGCCTGCCTGGACCAGGAACAGCTGCAAAGTGCTGCATCCGACAGCAGGAACCACGCACCACTACCGCTGCTCCTCCGCACCGGTGGGTAGGGAAGTCTGTGCGGTGTGGCCGGCCGTGTCTGATCCTGAGGCGGCGGCCGTCATTTCCCTTCATCGCGTCGGCCCGCTTGCCAACGTCCGTCCGTCCACGGAGAATTTCTGGCGCTAAGTGTTCTTTGCGAACCGGCTGCGCTTTCTAATCTGCTTGCCGTACTTGAAAAAGATGTACGGGAACGGCAGCATCGCTACCGTCAGGAACCCGAGCAATGACGTCGCCCATTGGTATCCGAGCTCCGTGTACATCTGCGTTCCAAACAACGGGAATGCGGCTGTCAGGCAATCGTCTAGGTCAGCACTGACCGAGACACACGGGGCACAACCCGGCTGAGTGGGAGAGAGCGTTGTTGGTGCCACGGGAGGGTAAACTCACCAGCAAACATGCATCGCACAAACGCATTCGCAGCAAGGGCTGACGCTGCGTAGAGAGGATAGGCGTCCACCTGCAAAGCCCAACATTAGCATACTCATCTCTCATGTCGTGCAACGCCCGGGGCCTGGAGAATGATTCCAGACCCCTGGCACCGCCGCCCAACCGGTGGGACAAGCAGAGACCACTTACAAGAAACGTAAAAATGCCAGTAAAGACGAGGAGCACCCTTCAGACGGTCAGCTGCAGCTCACATGCACACACACAGTTGGGAAAAGGAAAAAGCAAGACGACCCCACGGTCCGTGGAGGGGCCTGACAAAGCGTGACTACGCCAGCAAATGAACCTGCAGACGGCAGCCGGCCTGACGCAAGGACGGGCATGTCAGGTCACGGCATGAGCTTATATGCTGCGGAACCACGGGCCTTTTTCCATCTTGGGGCCATAGTTGCGATATGTCGTGTAAGGGGAAAAATGGAAAGACTCGACTCACCCCGCGCCAAAGATTGCGCTTCCGATGATTGGCACAATCCAGTGTATCCAGGGGAAGGTCGTCCACGCGAAGATGAACAGCCCAATGGTTACGAGGAATGCGCCGCAAATCACAGGAGGAAGGCGAAATTCGGGCTCGCTGGCCCCCTCAACGCCCGTCTCCTTTTCCAGGTCCGCCATGAGCCGGCTGCGGATGCGGTGCCACAAGGGGTCGGTCGCGGCCGCCAAGAGCATGCCCACCAGGAGGCCCAGGAAGGTGAGACCGACCTGCCAGAGGTTGAAGCCGTGGTTGGTCGTGAAGACGAGCGGGAAGGCGCCGAAGAAGAGGTACAGGATGCCGAGGAGGATGGCGCAGAAGACGCACAGGTTGAGCATCATGGGCTCGTAGATGAGCAGCTGGAAGGGCCGCAGCAGCGACAGGCCGATCGTCTTGGGGATGGACTTGGTCATCTTCTCGACGGGGGCCTTCCAGCGCTCGTCACCTGTCTCTTTTCGGATCTTGCGCGCCTTCGTCCGCAAGACGATCGGATCTGTACGGTGTCAGCACTCCCGCACCACCAGCTCAGGGGCGCACCCTCCACGAGGCACTCACGATATGTCTCGGGCACCAATACGACGATGGCCAACAGCAGAACAAACGTGATGATGATGAGCACGTAGTAGGTCCAGCGCCAGTGAAGGTACGTGTTGATGAAGCCACCAATCAGCGGTCCAATACACGGGCCAATGAAGGGGGCGAGCGAGTACATGAGCATCGGCGCCTGAAGCTCGTGACGCGCAAAGAGATCGCCAACTGTGACTAGTCAGCACACCCCGAGACGTGATGATGGCGACTGCACTCACCACTGCCCCCGGACACCGACAGGAACGCTGAGCCAGTAAGACCGTCGAGGAATCGGGCGATGATCATGGTTGTGATGTTCTTGCTGACGGCGGACGGGATGATCCAGATGAGATACATCACCCAGGAAACCAGGTAGATGGGCCGGCGCCCGTAGAACTCGGAGAGAGGGCTCAGAAGCATTGGGCCGAGCGAGATGCCCAGTACAAACACGGACAAACCAACTGTAGACACGAGTTTCGATATCCCGAACTCGGCGTTCATTTGCGCGTACGTCGATGTGTAAATGGAACTAGCAGCAGTGCTGTGCCTTGTCAACACCCGCCTTCTACCTTTCAAATTCTCAGTCCGCCACTTACACGCATGTACTGGCGAGAGACACAATCGAGACAATCACCCATTTCCTGAGTTTGCTCATGCTGCGCGGACACATGGGGTCGCTGTCGCCGCCGTCAAAAGATACTTCAAAGGGGTCCTTTTCGGGTTCCTGCGAAGGGCTGTCGTCGCTGCTGTCCAGGTCGTCGACGCCGTAGCCGTTGTTGCTCCTATTTCGGCTCAGGGAGCGTAGCGAGCGCGCACCGGCGCTGGCCCCCGTTCGGATGCGCTGAAAGGTCGCATCGTCCTCGGCGGCGATCGTTTCGTCGTCGTTGTCGGCGCTCGATGACCGGCCGCTCTCGGCCTTTTCGACATCCGCCATGGCTGTTTGACAGTCGTCCTGATCAAAGGTCGTTTACGATTCCAACAGAATGGCAATGACGAGCTTGATAGCAAACAAGCTGGGACTGCGGATGTCGGGTATTATGTACGGAAAGGGTCGACTTATTATGGGACCACTTCCGAGTTCCAGCATGTGGATCGTGACCGGGGACACTCTTTTTTTGCTGGATCTGCTACCACGATGAAATATGTCGCAGGCAGCCCGGCGTAGTTTTTATTTGGAAGTGGTAGAAACAGGATCCTCTCCCATTGCAACGATCCAGACCCCGTGAAAACAAGTCGACGAGAGGGGGCAAACAAGCGTGATCTTGGGCCATTAGTCAAAGACGGATGAACGTCCCTAGGGCGCAACCTCTTTGGCATTTTTTTTGCCATTATTCAGCCCAGCTAGGGCGCGCGCTGTTGGGACCCAGAACGCGGCTCGCCTTTACGCCTTTTGGAGGAGCTTGACCCGTGAACCCCCGGATTGGGAGGTGGATCTCGTCATTGTCATTGAGGCGAGGCGACCTCCACCCTGGGAAAGGTGGACGCATTGGTGGACGGATGACGCCGCCATGGGGCCCTGCGATCTGGGAAAGACGCGAGACGAGGAGACTTGCCATGTGCAGCATCCGAACCAACGGACGAAGGGGTCCATCCAGTTCGAGGGGAGGGGAGGGGGGCTCAGCCAGTAGGGATGCCGCATGTTCATTCTTCCACGCGAGCACACCGTCGAAGGCGAGCTCCCAACGCCGCATGTTTGTTAGTCAAGATGGAGCGGCGCCAGAATGTGATTGATAACAGCGATAGGCGGCGGATGACATCCATGCTCTGCTAGCGGTTAATAGGAAAGCAAGCGGGGCTTTTTCGTTTTTTTCTCTGTTTCCCACGGAAATAGCCCGCCTCAACCTGACATGACGTTGACAAGCGTCTTTCCAGAAGTCGCAGAACGGGGGACCCTCGGCATCAGAGAAGAGTGGGTGAGACACCAGCCAGGAGGCGCCCGTCAGAGCGGGCTTCTTCAACAGAGTCGCAGGGCTAAAAATGGGAGACGCCGAGCGATCGGTTTGGATTTGCGGCAATGCTGGAGAAACCTGACAGAAACACTGGCCCTGGACGCCCTGAGCTGCAACCCAACCTGAGCTGATCCGATGTGCCCTGCCTGGCCAACAGTTCTCGCGCCATTCGATAAGCTTCAACCGGCTTTTCCCATCTTCCATGTTCCCTACATTAGTTCGTGATCCAACCGGGCCCACGAAGCCGGTAAGTGGGGTTGCATTCCCACTGATTGCTGGATTGCTGCCCCCCCTCCGAAAAGGAAGAGACATTTCGCGTCGTCGGAGACGGCGAAGCGCGAGCGCCGTCAACCCGCCTTCCGATCCCGACCGTCTGTTTTTCGTCCAGTCTGTGCTTCTTGACACCTGCCCCGAGCTCTCTTCGGCGCCGGTTGCCGTAGCGTGGGATGGTTGAGATCCTTCGGGCCACGTGCGATGACGGTCTGTCTGTCAGCAACGTCCGTGGACTTTTGATTGCGGGCGGTTGACGTCCCTGGAGATGGACGCATTTCTAATCAAGAATGATCAGCTCTGATGTACTGCGTGGCTTGGTTTCCGATGTAAGAGCCACAGTCTACGAATTCATATCGCAATCGAGGGACACAAATTTGACGGCTGAACCTCAGGGTTCTGTCGTTAAAGCTATCTAATACTGGCATCATGTGCGTCTCCAGCGTTATTATCATACATGACTACGTCTCCCTCATACATGTTCATCGTCATCGCTCACTCTATATGCCTCGTTCAGTCAAATGCAGGTTGCTCGCCCCAAACGCCAATTGCATGCAAAAAAACACGACCCATCAGTAATATTCCGGCAAGCTGCTCCACGACGGCACCGTTCCGGAGCAGTCAAAGTCCCGGTCGTAGGCCTTGGCAGGCAGGATTCCGGCCGCGAGGCCCTTTTTGTAGCTCCACAGCGGCGAGCTCTCCGTGTCCCATGTCCAGTACCACCAGCCCCACCCCTTCTCGAACGAGTGCATCTGCGCCTCGGCGAACATTTGCAGAAACTGCTTGTAGTCGCTGCTGAACCCGCTGGGGTCGCCGTTGGCCTTGTCGCAGCTGCACTGGCTGTCCTCTGTCGGGCACCGCGGCGTCAGGATCGACGTCGAAGAGTTGCCCGTGTCGTACGTGCCCGTCCACCGGTTGCCCCAGTTGACGTTGGTCACGTACTTGGCGCAGTCCGTGTCGGCCTGCGACCACTCGGCGAAGAGCGTCGGCCCGTAGCCCGTCGACGTGTCCATCGACTGCTCCGCCTGCTGCGTCCAGCCGTCGCAGGCGTACTGGACCTTCTTCTGGTGCGTGTACACGATCTGGTCCGTGTTGAAAATCACGTACTGGTGCACGTCGAGCGCCAGGTCGCTGTAGCCCGTCATCTTGCCCTGCCAGTTGCCGAGGCCCATGAAGCCGTCGCCAAACACCACGATGGCCTTGATCCCGTTGCCCTTGACGAGCTTGTAGGCCTGCTCCGTCCACGCGACGACATCCGTCGCGCTCAACTCCGTCATCTTTGGCTCGTTGACAAGGCCATAGAAGGAAACGATGTTCTTGTACCGGTCCTGCGCAAAGAACTTCGACAGCCTGTCGTGCAAGTCCAAGCTGCGCTGGGCGTTGGTGGCGCCGTCGGTGCCGTTGAGCCAGCCGATGACTCCCTGACGACCAGAGTGGTTCCACCCGTTCTGACTGCCAGGCAGGCCGTGGACGTCGAGGTTGACGCGGAGGCCGTACTTGCGCGCCCATTCGATGCCGCGGAGGAGGTAGCGCCATGACGTGCGGAAGAGGTACGGATCGCCATCGTAGACCTCGATCGCCCAGTAGTTGAAGGGAATGCGTACGTGATCGAGTCCTGCATCCGCAATCTCCTTGAACGTGTCTTCCGTCACGAAGGACTTGTAGTGGTCCTCGAGTACCTCGGCCGTCTTTTTGGCGCCCAGGTGCGTGCAGAGGGTGTACTCGTCGATGATGCCGAGACGGGAGTCGTAGTTGAAGAGCGAGGGCGTGATGAAGGGTTCCAGGTTCAGCCAGCCACCGACGTTGACTCCGCGCGCCGGTCTCGATCCGTACGAGCCCCAGTCCTCGTTGAGCTTCGGGACCTTGCTGTTGGCCTGCGTCGAGTCGTCCCAGTCGGTGTACAGGCCCATGACTGGCAGATCGCCAACCATCTCGTCGGTAAAAGTGACGTTGAAATCGGTGGTATCGGCCCAGGACCACGGGTCGAGATAGGTACCGCGCCATTTCATCGGAATGCTGTTCTTGTCCTGGCCGTCGAGGTTTACCGAGCTCGAGTCGCTGTTGTTGGAGTTCTTCTTGCTGACCACCACTGCCACGACGATGATGATGATCAATAAGACCAAGCAGACTCCGAGGCATATCCCTGGCGGCGGTTAGCTGGCGGTCGCGGACCTCTGCCGGATCACTTACAAAGCTTCTTCCTCTTCTTGATCGGCCCGGGTGGGTCGTCCACGAGACGTTCCTTCTCGAGGCTGTTGCTGTCGGTGCTGCTCCATCCGCCGCCTCTCAGACCACGCGACCCCCGGCCCTCCTCGAGAATGGCGCCGCTGACCACCCGCTTCTTCTTGTGCCTGTCTTTCCGCGGTTTCTCATACGGCAAATCTCGGTACTCTTCCTTCTGCACTCGTCGCGGCCTCTCTCTCGGCGGATCCTTTTCCCTAGGAGCGTCTGCATTCTCTGCGGCGGCACGGCGTGCCCTTCGTTCCCTCCTTTCCCTCCGCAGCCTTTCCCTCTCCGCATCTCTTTCCGGGTCTCTTGGCCTCGCATCGGATCCCCGTCTCTTTGGTCTCCTCGTGTTCTCCTGGTTCAATTGTGCCAGCGCATCCGCCGAAAGCGTCTGCGAGCCCCTGCTCTCTCCAGAATCGGTCGCCGGCCGCCTCGATCTCTGATCCTGTGACCGCCGTTTCTTGTGTTGATGTTTCCTGCCCGATGAGTCCCGCGGTCGGTGCGACGACGGTCTCGAGGATTCACCGGGCGCCATTGTTGGAGATGGGATGCCGTCGGAAAAAGTGCTAGTCGTCGTTGCACTGGAATGCTACTGACCGGCGGCCATTCCAGATGGATATACGTGTTGACGCCAAGGATACCAAGATCGTAATCATGTCCACTGCCCTGTTTTGGCGCTGGGCTGGGGGCTCGGCTGTTGGCAGGGCAACAATCGCTCGGGCCTCTTATCAGGGCGTAAAGTGGCCGCCAGGGTCGGTCGCCCGCCAAGGGCCGCTGCGACCCCGCGAACGCCGCTGCAAGCCGAACTTACATCACCCGGGCGCGGGTTAGTAGGACAGCCTCCCTCGTCGAGCCGGCGGTCTCAGTTCCTTCGTCTTTAGACATTCATGGGAATTGGGTCTCGCAGTGATTCTGCCGGCTACAAACATCATACACAATGAGGTCCATTTCATTACGTCCACTCCGCCGAGCGCTGGCGCCGTCCGTGTCGACCCAGCTCCCCCTTGCCGTCTCTCGGCTTTACTCGACGCACCCGCCCAATGCGAAGCTCAACGTCCCCGTCGACTACGCGACGACCTCTCTCCTCGCGCACTCGTCTCAGGCGGCCCTCAGCACGGCCGAGCTCCCAGCCGAGGTGCGCAATGGCACGACGAAGAAGATGAACCTGTTCCAGGCCATCAATGACGCCCTGTCGATTGCGCTGGCCGAAGACGACTCCGTCATGGTGTTTGGAGAGGACGTTGCCTTTGGCGGCGTGTTCCGGTGCACAATGAAGCTCGCCGAGACGTACGGCGCGGACCGCATCTTCAATACGCCCCTGACGGAGCAGGGCATCATGGGCTTCGCCATCGGTGTGGCAGCGGAGGGCATGCGGCCAGTAGCAGAGATCCAGTTTGCCGACTACGTATACCCGGCATTCGACCAGCTCGTCAATGAAGCGGCTAAGTTCCGATACAGAGACGGTGCTTGCGGTCGCAGCGTGGGCGGTCTCACGGTCCGGATGCCTTGCGGCGGCGTCGGCCACGGCGCCCTCTACCACTCCCAGTCCCCTGAGAGCTTGTTCACGCACATCCCTGGACTGCGAGTGATCATGCCGAGGTCACCCCTCCAGGCCAAGGGTCTCTTGTTGTCAGCCATTCGTAGCAACGATCCGTGCATCTTCATGGAGCCCAAGATACTCTACCGGGCCGCTGTCGAGCAAGTGCCCGCAGGGGCGTACACTCTGCCGCTGTCCAAGGCGGAGGTTCTCAAGGATGGCAAGGACGTGACGATTGTGTCCTACGGCCAACCACTGTACACGTGCATGTCGGCTATCCAAAAGGCCGAAGAGGAGCTGGGCATCTCCGTGGAGCTCATCGACCTCAGGACGCTGTACCCGTGGGACAAGGAGTGCGTCTTTGAGAGCGTCCGCAAGACGGGCCACTGTATCGTGGTGCACGAGGCGATGGTCAATGCCGGCGTCGGCGCGGAGGTAGCTGCAGCCATCCAAGAGGACCCGGATACGTTCCTGCGACTGGAGGCGCCAGTTGCGAGGGTTGCGGGATGGAGCATTCATACGCCGTTGTTGTATGAGAAGTTCAACATTCCGGATGTTGCGAGTAAGTAGTCTTTGATGCGAGTCTTTGAACAGTTTGCTGACCTACCTAGGGGTTTATGACAATATTAAGCGGGTGTTGGACTACTGAGGCGGGAGGATGGACGTCAACTTTTAATACATACCCATGATGATCAATCTGAAGACGCGTATGGGCTTAGACCTAGACTTTGGAAGGCAAAAGGAGAAGCTCAAGGCCGATATACCGTTGCCATGTCGTGTTCGCTACTAGGAGACCAAAGTTGTAAAATCAATCGCCCATTGAATTGCAAGCAGTGATTGCAAAGAAAGAATCGTATCTGGTGTCCTGGCGAATTGATGGAAAGGTACAACTCGGTTGTGCTTCATCGCAGCTGAAGTGGAGGTTGCGCGCTAACAATTAACGCCCCTTTCCTGGCCAATCCGTCGCTGCCCCCGTCATCGTCCCCGTCGTCGGTGTCCCGCCAATTGCCCCGCATCAGGTACCTTATGTTTCAACGTCCACCGCCGCATCATCACCGCGCACGCGATATTGCAAGCATACACCACTCTGGCAAATCACCCCAGAATGTCCCAAGTCGAGACCGTGTCCTCCTTTGTGGAGGGAGCCCCCCCTGGCGAGGTACGTCGAGCTGTTTCCACCGTGCACACCCCGAGCTGACCTGATTGAAGCTCGCAGATGTCATCGCAGGTAACGACACGCCGCCACCGGTTCGCAGCCCGACCGACAGCTAACCCGACAAAGACATCAAGTCCCTCACCGTGTCCGACCCCGAACTCGTTTCGAGCCTCGAGCCGGCGTTCGAGAAGTACAATGAAGAGCAGTTCATCACAGTGAAGCTGCCCGGCGGCAGCCAGCAGGTCGGTCAAGCGGCGCTCGAGGGAGCGATCGGAAGCTAAGGGAATACATCAGGTCATTGTCAGCTCTCACAACTCGCTGGGCAACGGTCAATACTTTGACGTCGAGAGCTCCACGAGCTTCACCTTCGACCACAGCACACAGAAGGCCAGCAACGCGCAGAGCTACGTTCTGGAGGGCGCCAACGCCGACTTGATGTAGGTGACGCTGCGTGGATGGGAGGGATGGTGCTAAACGGAATGCAGCAAGTCGACGCTGAAGAGTCTCGGCCCCTACGTCAAGGAACACTTCCCCAACGCCGCGTACGGAGTCTACCCGACCGAGAACGACTCCAAGGTCGCCGTCATTATCGTTTCCAACAAGTACTCTCCCAACAACTTTTGGTATGCACCATCTCCACAACTCCTTGTGCCTTGCTGACGTGCCCAGGAACGGCCGCTGGCGCTCCCTCTACATCTACGACCCCTCCTCCGAGAGCCTCGAGGGCTCCGTCAAGGTCGACGTGCACTACTACGAAGACGGCAACGTCCGCCTGCTCACCAGCCGCCCCACACAGACGTCCGTCTCGGGCACCGGCGCCGGCATCGTCAAGGAGATTTCGAACTCGGAGAAGAAGTACCAGGAGGAGCTCAACAGGGGGTTCACGAATCTGAGCGAGGGAGCGTTCAAGGGCCTGAGACGGCAGCTGCCCGTGACCAGACAGAAGATTGAGTGGGACAAGATCACCTCGTACCGTCTCGGACAGGACATTGGCGGAGGCAGCGGAAGGCGATGAGCTGGGGACGGGGCCGTGTTGAGTAGACGTTAGATCGATATCCTCCGTGCATTTAGCAGGCGTCCAACTGGAGCGAGACTCCCTTCGTCTGTCACGGTAATGGTTCGGTGATGTATTCCCAGAGACCCGGGACCGCCTCGATACAAGAGTGGCTAAAACAGCCGTGTGCATATCTGATGGAATGCAGCAAAAGCGAGTGTGCCGGCGATTTTTACCCATTCAGGAAATAAACCGCGAGCCACGGCCGAAATGCCTTGGGAACCGATATCAGAAGCCAGCTTGATTACCCCGCGCGTTCCCCGCCTTTTGCATCTGTATGGAATTGACATCACGATCCCGGAGGACGCACGGAGTGCCTCGGCATCATCCCGAACTCCCAGATGTCAGCGAGCGGGATTGACATGCGGGCAGAAAAGCCGTACGGGTTGCAAGTCAGAGACAGCAGCGCCGGTCTTATGTAGTGCGGACTGAAGGGGACGGCCGCTCTGCAGGCAGCATGGGTGATTTATCTGAATCAGGTCTGCCGTCCCAGGTCTTGGAATATTCCGTGTGCTCCGTGGGATTTCGGACTGTCAACCGTCGGCCAAGAGTCCGTGAGCGCCATTTACGCGCCCACAGGGACCCCGCGGAACCGGTGAGATAAGGAACATTCCGACGGGCACAAGTCTTGAGGAACCCAACCCAGTGGCTAGAGGACGGGCGGGCTGTGGGTATGGCTGGATGATTGGCAATCCCCCCGCGGGACGCATTACACTGGACCGGCCAGCTGCGTTGCACTCGGTCGGGTTGCTTGTCGAGCCCAGTGATGTAGCAATGCAAGGATACGAACACGAAATACTGGGGAACGGACCGGACCCTGTGGCTGAAATTCCGGCAGACGACGAGCGGTTTCCGCTGTAGATATTCGCAGAGGGTTTGCGACGACGTGGAAGCGGAACTGAGAGGCGACGGCTACTCGTCGAATGAGCCACGCTGCAGCGGACACCGACAGGATTCCGGCAAGAGACCCGCGTTTCGAAACGAGCTAACTGGAGGCAGCAGCTTAGGCGGTCAGGACAGGCACGGCATGCCCTCACGTCGCAGTGCTTGCTCTCTTCTGAGCAACGTTCGCCCTGACTCGGAGACAGCCTGGTCGAGTCTCAATGGGCGGGGAAGAGACGTGGCACTGCCTAGGACCAAGGTAAGGAACGGGTGTCGCAGGGTAAGGCGAGGCAGGCTTGGTAGACCTAAGTTTGCGAATACAGCCGTGGGTGACATACGCCGTATTCACATTCATTTGCCAGCCCTTCCCGAGTGCGATGCCGACAGGAACGGCGGCATCACATTCGCTCCGCCGGGATGCCAGCCCCGCTCCCACTCTCTGGGCACTGGACCTCTCCAGTCAGTCTCCAGCTGGGCGGGCTCTCAACCTCCCGTTGCTGGCCCCTAAAAACGGTACCTCAAAGGCTCAATCCCTCTAAACCCTGGACGCCCAATCCACCAGGCCGGCGAATCACAGCAGGTGTGCACTAATTTCGGTGTCCCTCATTGGCCCGAAAGTCCCCCCTGAGCGGACCCCCGATATCCTTTTTCCCCCCAAGCTGCAATTGTGTCCACTGTCAAAGCAGAAGCTTCCATCAGCTAACCCCCCCCAATTTTACGCGATAATAGTGAAGCGGGCTCAACAACATCCGAGCTGGCCTGATTGTGCAACTGCCACCTCTAAATCTCGCCAAAAAGTCTCTTTGTCCTGCTTCTTCACCTGCTTCGCACATCCACCCACCAAGTTTCACCGAAACAAAAGAACAGTTCGCAACCCCGTTTGCTGCTCAACAAAAGCCACGCTTATCACCAACAGAACGAGAACCCTCTTTTGCGAAATCTGTCACAATGGGCGGCGTCGAACTCACCTACCAGGATGTTGCCGAGCACAACACCAAGAAGGACATTTACATTGTAGTCCACGACAAGATCTACGACTGCACCAAGTTTGTCGACGAGCACCCGTGAGTACTACTCGACCTCGGCTGCCCCTGAATGGCCGGCTCCCCCATTGTCGGTCTGTTCGTCCCAACTGACGTTTTGCCTCTAGCGGTGGTGAGGAGGTTCTGCTCGATGTCGGCGGTCAGGATGCCTCCGAGGCTTTCGAGGATGTCGGCCACAGCGACGAGGCCCGCGAGACCCTCGACCAGCTCTACATTGGCGACCTGAAGCGCCAGGTAAGCCGTACACTCTCCGCGCATGCGCGCACATGCTCGGGATATTCACAGCTAACGCTCTTCTTCCTCTTCAGCCCGGCGACCCTTCCCCCAAGAAGCAAACCGCTCCCGCCACCTCCGCCGGCCACACCGAGAGCCCCGGCTTCGGCATCGGCCTGTACGCCGTCCTCCTCATCGGCGGTGTCCTCGCCTACGTCGCCTACAACTACCAGCAGCAGCAACAGCAGCAGTCCGCATAAGTTCCTCAGCGGACTTTTGTTGTGTTTTTTGACTGCCAAGCGAGTACTTTAGGGGGGATGAAGATGGAAGCCGTCACCGCGCACGGTTCCAGAGGGGAAACGCGCGCGCGCCGCCCCGTAATGAGGCACGCAGGCGGATGTGACGGGATTGATGACGGGTGTCTCTCGTCTTTACGATCATCTGACAAGAGGTTTGACGTCGGTCGGCAGGAGCTTTTTTGACGTCGTGAGGTGGATCTGGCTGGTTGTGCTTCGACTGAGCCGAATCTGCCAGTTGAAGATATTGCTTTTAATAGAATATACGTTCGGTCACGATTCTTATGGACATTTGTTTACGGGGTGTTGGAGAGGGGCAAGAAGCGCTGGATATAGTTGACAACAAGGATGAGTGTGTCTTGCTGTCTGCGATTCTCTGGACATTTCGGACTCGGGATCCTTGTGACTGGCTGCTCAGCGCTGACCGCTTTGATGGTGTGCATGTCACCAACCATTGCGGCCAATGCCAGGACGCCTTATTCCAGACATACCTCTATAGCCCGGACTTGTCTGCCGTCAATTCAATTACAAAAATCACAAAAACCACATCTACCAAGGTCAACTCCCACTCTTGACGGCCACTTTCGGCTCCCACTCTTGTGTCAATCCGCCATAGGGGCATGGCCCGTGCATGCCATATCCACAGCCACTCTGTCGCCAGCTTCTGAGAGACAGCAGCCGGAACCCATCGGAAAATTGCATGAGACACCCACAAGGTACATGATGGGTCTTTCATTGATGGAAGCGAGAGTCCGTAGGCGTCCATCGGAAATTCATTCGATCGGAGATAAGGTGCCTGCCGTGGCTTAGCTCATCAGCCACGTCTGTGCGCCACAGCGTCGAACGTCCAAGAAGATTGAATCAGCAGCTTCCCATCTCGGGTCAGCAAAGAATCTTCCCTCCGTCACCCTGCTTGCGTCGTCATTGTCAACCGGCTGATCGCAGCAAACGTCTGGATATAATTGTGGATGTCGAAGCAGCGGGAACGACGGGAGAAAAAACGACCAAGGCACGACAGCGCGACCCGAGGAGAGCGACCGCGAGGACGAGGCAGCGAGCCGCCGACGACAGCGCGACGCCGCCCAGCTCACGCAGCTGACCATTGAAGCGAAGAGTTGTCGGGGAAACTGGGAATCTACGAGATACGAGCGACGGCGAAGAGACTGCCGAAAGACTTGATCTTGTTTCTGCTTCTCGATCGGCAGAGTCGCGTGGCTGCCTGGTCACTAAACGTGCAGCAACCACCCACGACTGTATGCTGAAAAGCATCTACAACCCGTCATCGGCTCCCTCCAATATATACTAGAGACCGTCCACACCCGCCAAGATGTCGTCCCTCCTCGAGAAGCAAAAGGCAGCCTTCAACAGCTCGCTCGCCTCGGCCGCCAGCAAGCTGACGGCCAAGAAGCCGTCGTTGGCGCCGCCTTCGCCCTCTCCCTCTGTCGGCAGCACCGCATCCAAGAACGATGCCTCGTCCGGCAAGCGCAAGCGCGACCCCAACGCTGTCGTCTACTCGCAGCCTCAGAACACTAGTTTTGGTCAGGAGGTCTTCACGCAGATGCAGTATGCCCTCGAGTGGCTCAAGGGCAAGGACGAGCCGAAGACGGCCACGGAGATATTTGACCACCTGGGCCAGACGCGTAGCACCGACAAGCACAAGCAGTCGCTGGTCGAGGCCATGCGTCGCCATCCGCGCATCCAGTGGGTCCCCGACTCGAAGCTCTCGGAGCAGACGTGGAGGACCGGCACGTACGTCCACCGGCCCATCATCCCTGGTGTCAAGGACAAGATTTCGCTCCTGCGCCACCTGCAGAGCAAGAAGGACGCCGAGGGGACCAATGTCAAGGACCTGAAAGACGGCTGGCCCGACTGCGACCAGGCGTTGATGGAGCTGGAGCGCGAGCACAAGATCCTCATCGTCAAGACGAAGAAGGAGCAGCACCCGCGCGCCATCTGGCTCGACGACGCGACGCTGCATCACCACGTCGACGACGAGTTCAAGCGCATGTGGAACGCCGTCGAGGTGCCGAGCACCGACGACATCGTCAAGAAGCTCGTCTCCGTCGGGCAGAAGCCCGCCAGCGCCGACCCGAGCCTCATCAAGAAGGTCGATCCCAAGAACAACAAGCAAAAGAAGCGCGCCGTCCGCCGTACCGGCAAGACGACCAACACGCACATGGAGCATCTGCTCAAGGACTACAGCCACCTTACGAAGCGGTAGACGGACACACTCGGCTGCATTTCTGGCGTTTTGATGGGCGGCGGCTCTTTGGGCGATTTCGGATAGGTTTCCTCGGTCTTATAGAATGGGTTTCAGACTGGCTTTGTCACGGCCGATCAGGGACAGGTCCTGTGGTGAGGGGCAGAAAAGGCGATGAATAAACTTATTACCAGACCCGATGCTCAACTGTGGTATCATCCGCGCCGCTATGCTGCTGACTCGACTAGGCAAACGTCTCACTCACTCCTCGGCAACTCTCTCAAACACTCTCAGAAAGACGTCCGGCTCCTGTTTCCCGCCGACTCTCCACCGGCCCTGGATGGTGAAGGTGGGCACGCCGTTGACGCCCGCTTTCCTCGCCCGGATGACCTCGCCGTCGACAATCTCGCCAGCCCGCTCGCTGTCGAGCACCCTCGCAGCCTCGTGCTCGTCCAGCCCCGCCTCCGCCGCCGCCGCTAGCAGGAACTCCCTGTCCGAAATGTCGGCACCCTCCTCAAAGTGGCCCCGGAACAGGGCGTCCAGCAGCCGGTCCTGCACGTCGAAGCCTTTCATCAACGCGAGGGCGATGAGCTTGTGGCACTGCCGAGAGTTGCCCGTGGTACCGCTAATGTCCAGCTTGATGCCCGCGCGGCTGCAGTCGGACGAGATGCGTTCGAAAGCCGTCTCAAAATCGCCCGCCGCGGAGAACGTCCTCGTGTAGACGGTGCGCTTATCGTATCCTGTCTGCGTCAGTGTGAGTCTGGGTGAGAATGGACGGCCAACCGACCAGAGTTCTTCATCGCCGGGCTGAGATAGAAGGGCTTCCATGCCACCTGGAACTCGGCGGACGGGTCCGTCTCGCGGTACAGCTCGATCGCGCGGTCGAGGTTCTTTTTGCCGACGTAGCACCACGGACAGAGCATGTCCGTGACGGCCTCGATACGAATGACTGTCATTTTGTTTTGTGCGTCGTGAGATTCTGCAGAGTATTGGGAGTGGTGGGCGAAAACTTGATATTCCTCTTAGCCCCGAAGCAGAAAAGCCTCGGTCCGCGATGGCGTCAAACCGCGTGGGATCAGCTACACGCTCTGCGGGGACTACTAACTTCAATGCGGGGATGGACGGGCAAAAAGCGAAAGAATGAATCAGGGCTGGCCATGCATCTTAAGTCTCGAGAGAGTGTCTTCTTTTTTTTTTCTCACTTCGGCCGCCCACGCCTCAGGTGAGGTCAAGACACCCAAGGCACGACATTGAATAGTAATCAGGCTTGCTTCCCGCCGGCTGAGCTGCCAGTGGGATAAATATCCCACAAACACCCAGACACTGTTTCTCTCTCTTACGCACCCCCCTCCCCCTCCCCTTCTCGGCTTACACCAAGACAAGCAAACACGGGCGAGGGTTCCACCAGAGATTGTATACTAATCGAGTCATCTCTGGGGGCTACCGAGAACGAGACGTTCGGATTAGCGATTCAGAACGACAAGCAAGAACTGGAAAACGGCTACACTCGGACTAGCAATCTACTTTTTGGGGGATGCCACGCGCAACGCCCGCCCTGCCCGTCTCACTAAAGCCAAAAAGGGAGCCATCCGTCTCCGGTTTCCTCTCGCATTATCCGAGCTCCTGACCTCAGAAGAACGATTCAAGATTTCGAGTTGAGTAATCACTTATTTCCCAAATGCAGCAAATGCAGCAACCAACACCTGCGAGACAGCCGACCAACCAGATGCCACCCGTGGAAGGCGGTCCTCTGCCCCTGCAGAAACGCTTTTTTTTTTCTGATTTTCTCATCAATCCGAGACCAGAGCAAACGACGTATGCCTCGGGTCTGAATCGCCCCGCCCGCCTCACTTCTGCTGCTGAGGCTGGAACGCCCCGATTAGAAAACAAGAACCGCGTTTGGTCATCAGCTTTCGTTGATGAGGAAATGGATTCGGCCGAAAAGCTGTCATCCAGCCGCTGTCAGCGCATGCAGAAGCGAGGCCACTTGTTAAAGTAGGCTCGCGTGGCCGTCCCCTTGGCATCGAACAAAGCCCGTCGGCCCAGCTGCCATTCCATCAAAAGTTTGCCAAGTGCAGCGGGTCGCCGTCCCCCGGACCATCCAACGCAACGCTACCTTAGACTCGCCCCGTCGTCGGCACACTGACCATCGTGAGATCGAACCTCAAGCTGGTCACGTCTGCTCCCCACTTGGATTGTCACTGAGATCGCAGGAGTTTTGCCAGCCAGGCAGTGTCCACCACACATGCGTGTAATCCGTGTCCCTTCTAATCGCCTATTTTGTTGTCGTTTATCATCGTCTATCGTCGTCGTCGTCGTCGTCGTCCATCGCCGTCGTCCATAGTTGTCGTCCATCATCGTCGGTTTCTGTCGTCGTCGTCTCCTGTCGTCTTCTTTTCTCGTCCTCGTTGTTGTCGGTTTCTCTGCTACTTTCGTCCCCGTCGAGGTATTAGGTGTACCATGATTGAAGCTGTTGAGAACACTGCCCCCCACCTGGATTGTCACTGAATTCACAGACTTGTGATGAGAAGAATAAGCTACTCGCGTTCATTGTCTAGTACAGGTTTGCATACAAAGATCCGCAACAAAACAAGAGTCCAGTCCTTTATCGGGGTGTCCCGCCCAGGAGCGCTCGTTTCCTGATCTTGGAAACTCCTCCCAACCGTTGCCTCCCGCCAATGCCTATGCAGGCCCAGAGTCATCATGAAGTTGTGCTTTCCGCCCGTCTATCAAGCTACAAAAGAAAAGGCGTGTTTTTTAAACGAACCAGATGGCTGACCGACCCTGTGGTATCTCCCTGACCCGTTCCCGGTGCAGCCCGCAGTATTAAAGTTGTATGTATTTACCCACCCACCACCTTGCCATGCACAAACTTTTCGTTACTCGAGGAAAAAGAAAAAAGACACAACTGTCCAAGGAAGACGCAGACAGATCACTCGCCCTGAGACTCCTAGTGGGCGCCCGCCCACAGTTCGCTCTGACGACCCTTGATATCGTAGGCGGCGGGGGGCTCCGTGCTCTGGGGGCGGCGGACCTGGCCAGCGTTGCCGTAGAACATCTGGCCGCCGAGGGAGGGGGCAGACGGGTACGCGTCGGGGTCGGGGTAGGTGTATCCGTTGCCGCCGTTGCTGCTGTGCGAGGGCGACGGGACGTGAGACGGGGACTGCCAGCCGACGCTGCTCATGTGAGGGCTGCCGCCTGCGCTGCCGGGACCCGAGTGCTGCTCGACACTGGGCTCCAGCGTGGGAGGAGGTCCGTAGCCCGTAGGGTGGGAGGTCGGGCGGATGCCGTTATTGTAGCCGGCCGATGTTGTCGACGCAGGGCTGCCGACGTGCATGTCGCGCTGGAGGTGCACGGGGAGGGAGCTGTTGCCCATGTACTGGAACTCGGCGTTGGCACGGTGCATGTTGTCCGCGCTGGGAGACATTGACAGGGTCCGCTGGCCGGGGGAGGGTGTCGTCAGAGGGGAGCCACGGTTGGACATGGCATCGCCGTCGGAGCGGGTGGGCTTCGCAGCAGCTCCGCGGGCGGCAAGCGCAGCGGCGGTGGCCGCAGCCGCCTCCTCAACGGTGCCGGTGTGGTGGTTTTGATGCCTGGTCAGGGTGGTGCGGCGGGTAAAGGTCTTTTGGCAGTCGGCGTACGGGCACTTGTATGGACGCTTGCCGGAGTGGATTCGGCGGTGACGGGCGAGGGAACTGCTGTCGCTGAAAGGCTTGCCGCACCGCTCACACATGTGAGGCTTTTCGCCCGTGTGGACACGCTGGTGGACGGTGAGGGCAGATCGCTGGATAAACTGCTTGCCGCAGTTGGGGAAGTCGCAGACGTGAGGGCGGATGCCGCTGTGAATGCGTTCTGTTCGAGTTAGTGCTGAACCTCGAAGCCTTAGATTAGTACATACCGTGACGGGCCAGGTCGCTGCGGCGGGCGAAGCCCTTGCCGCAGGTGCTGCACGGGTAGGCCTTTGCAGGCTGCTGAGGTGCCTGCTGCTCGGGCGCCTTATAGCCCATGTGCTGGGACATCTCTTGCGGGATGCCAGGCAGGATCGGTGCCATGTGAGAGACAGGAACTTGCATGGACATCGGGGCGCCGACCATGGCGCTGGGAGAGGGGTATGAGCCGGCGCTGGGCGACGGGTATGATCGTGGAACACCTTCCATGGTGTGACGAGAGTGCTGGGAGTATTCAGATCCGTGAGGGGAGCCGGCGCGGTCCATTGGGGGTTCGGCCATGTTTCTCGCGGTGAGTTGAGGGAGATGAGGCATCTGGCGATCCGGGGTGTTTCCGGTGTGCATGGGGGCGTGTTGTTGCATAGCTCTTTGATTCATCAAGTTGCCAATGTCCATTACTTCGCCCGAAACAGGCGACCTCATATTACGATGGAAATCGCCAGTCGGTGTCAGTATCCCTGCTGCGTGGATGGCCAGCTTGCAGGATGGTTTTCAGACGATTCACCGCGTCAGATGAAGGTGACTTTAGGTTCAAAAGGACTGCGTGTTCTTGAAAAAAGTTAGTATACAGAGCGACACCGAGAGACAAGAGGCTAAAAGGACGAAGGCGCCTAGGGAGCAGCGCCATCTTGAGGGGGGAAGCACATCGCCACGAGTAGGGAGCGTTTTGAGTGCGACTCCACACACAGGGTTGGGCAAGGCAAAATGATCGCGGGGGTAGCCCGGCATGCTCGCTGGCATGACTAGAAGTGCCAGGAGCACCTGGTGGCGGATCCGGGCTGAATCAGACTGACGGGTTGTGGTCGCAGGCTTACCTTGTACGGGTGCTGCGAAAAATCCGGGAGAGACCGATCAAAGATCACAGACCAGTATGTTGCTCGTCCTTGCCGCCCAAAGTATCCGCCCGGGTCAAGCTTCGCTCGAGTCGAGATCGGTGTTGCTTGGTGTTCAGTGGGTAGCCGAAGCGGTGACGATTATATATAGTGACTCGGGTTGTGTCGGTAAGAATATCGACGTGGCGCAAGGAGTGGTGATGATCATAGAACGGAGGCACAGCCCACCACAGATTAATCGTCGGAGATGGCACGCGTGCAGAGAGCACTCGTAGAGTCGATCGAGGGATGGTTATGTCCTTCTCGGATGTGTGCGAGTCGAGTCGCGGTGAAGGCGGAAAAGCAGAGGGAGTGAATAGGTGTGAAGGCGGCCGTATCAGATCGACCAACTAGACGCGCCTCCTGTCAGTAGATGCAGATGGAAGGCCTGATATACAGGCTAGAAGAGTGTCAAAGCCAGGATTGATGGCCGGGAGAGAGAGTGTGGAAGGAAAAGCTGGTGCCTCCGACGCCGAGGGCTGTCCAGTGTCGAGGAGTGTTTGTCAAAGTTCGCGTACAGACGGTCTCGGATGAGATGAGGTAACAGGGGCCAAGAAACCTTATGATCGGGGGTGCAGATGGTCCGGCAGGGTTAGGGGAAAAGTGGACGTGTGAGAGCGCGAGGTGAGAGGGAAAAAAAAAAAAATTAGCTGCGGCGACGTGACCAAGGCGCTGGACAGCCCCAGAAGTGGCCCCAGGCAAGGCGGCAGCCACAGGCCAACACGGTTGGAGGTACGTACCGCCACGCGCAGCAAGGAGGAAGGAGCAGGCAGTGGCAGTGGCAGCGGCAGCCAGCGGCAACAACCCAAATGGCGTGGGAACAAGCCAGGAACGCTGCCGGGTGAACAGGCCAACGACGTGAACGCTGCAAACAGGAACGGGAAACGGGCAAACGACGACCTCGATGGACCTCGATGCGGCAGCGGCAGAAATGAAGGGGGGCAGGAAAGTAAACAGAAAAAAGCGGTGCAGCTTACCTGATGACCACGACCTGGGTATCTCAATGCGGGTTTGCAGTTCCTTTTCGGTGTCGGAATGCGTCGTCAATGGCAAGGAAAGGAAAGAAAAGGTAGGAAAAAGAAAGCACGGTTGACTGAGTTTTGTCGCTACTGCAGAGGGAGCGTTGAGATATGTAAGGTGTGGGAAAAAAGGGCCCCCTTCCTGCTTGGTGTATGCGCGTGTGTGGGATGCGGTGCGTTGCGGCGGTGCGAGCAAAAGCCTGAGCCTGAGCAGAGAGCAAGGGAAAGGAAGGAAGAAGCTGTGACGCAGCAGGCGGAGCGCAGGGACTGACGGACGGGGTTCGGCAGGTATTATAAAAATGTCAACCACGGAGACGATCCTTTTAGTGAGACCGGGGGGGCAGAAAGGAAGGAGGGAAGGGGGGGTAACGGATCGATGAGAAGAGCCAGGTAGGGGCCGGACAGGTTGTTGTGGACATGGGCAAGACGATGGACGGTGGTGGACGGACGGGATGGGGACAAAAGAAATGGGTTTACTTTATGAATCGAATGAGAGGTGAGAGCAGAATATGAATAAGGATAAGTAAGGGTAGGTAGGCAAAAGTGAGGTACGGATGACGGACGGCGTGTCGAGGTACATTCGTACATACTTTGCAGAGCGAGGTACTTGTTTGATGGCCCGGCGTGTCCTGTCTGACTTGACACTCGCTGGCAGAGGAGAGGAAAAAAAAGATTCATTACACACGCACTCATCTCGTTCATACATGGCCTCTTCCACCACACACACCCACGAGTGTGCTGCGTACCTTTCCATCCTCATTCAATCTTTTGCACACAGTACCAGGCGAGCACACACACGCATACACACACACACACACACAAGTAACAGCGAGAAAGGCAGCTCCTGAGATGCGAGGTGCTCGACTCGCACGCGCACCCTCCCCCCAAGTCAGGTCAAGTGAGATGTCCCAAGTGCGGAAGCTTGGTGAATTGAAACGAACGGTTTAGCTGGGACGCTGGCCAGAGTGGACACCGGGGCCATTCACGCTGAAGCAGGAACGAACGGGGGTGACGGGGGGTTGGCAGGGCCAGGAGGTCACCCTAGGTCACCCTAGGTGGCCCTGAGGTGAGTGGGTACGAGGGTACTTCGGTACGTGGGGACCTCACCCTGCTTAGGTCACATCTTTCCACGTCCTTTCCTCAGCAAGGGTGCGTGCCCCCTGCCCTGCTCGCCCACCCCTGCCTTCCTCGCCTTCCACGTCCTTTCCTCTTCCTGCCTTCCCTGCCCTTCTGTCGCCCAAACCGTACACTGAGTTTCCACCTGCCGCGAGTTCCCACCACACGTACCTGCCTGCCACTGCCAGTGCCTGCGCCTGCGCCTGTCGTACCCAGTGCGCACAGTGCTGGCCGCCCTCGACTGTGACTTGCCCGGGCAGCGGGTGACCTCAGCTCACTCGTGCACACGGAGTGCTCCCTGAGAGGCCTGAGGTAACCTGACGGGAGGTGCTGGATCTGCCCTGTTGGACCAAGGAGACCTCCATGTCGGTGACGATCGTCCTTGTGCTGTTGTTCCATTGCCGGTTGGGCCACCGCTAGTCGTGGGAGGCCATTCAGGGGTTGGGACCGCCCTGCGAGCTGCACCTGGAGCTGACGCTTGCGGGCGGACTGCCCATTCTCTCTACAGTCGTCTTCTGCAATTGCCATTGGCAGCGCCGTCGACGGAAAGGAAGCAAATGCCCCAGTCAGCGACGACGGGAATCACAGGAACAGACATTATGCACCAAACGGCCTGAGCACGGCACGACAGCGGCCAGCAATGGCTACGGCGGACCTTGGGCACGAATAGCGGCACCAACGACATGGACGCCTCCCTATGCCAATGCCAATGTCAAAGCCCGGTCGACTGTCCAACTAACTGGTCTACGCAGTACCATGACTACGGACACCCAGCAGACCCAGCAGCAACGCGACAGCAACGACCACCTCCCATCCGTTGACCACCCTCCATCACGGCGCTTCATGTCCATGTCAAATGAGCCGTTGAGAAAACAGACAAACAATACAGACCGATCTGCACGCCCTGCATCATCAATCAGAATAGGGGACCACCTGTCATCACCGCTACGTGCGTACCTGACGATTACCTACAGCTGCCGCCGACACCGCCGCCTGCCGCCGCCGCAGTTACCGCCCGTCGTGCTCATCATCATCTTCATCGTCCCTCTGCTCCCCGTTGCTCTTCAGGGGCCCTCGCCAGGAACCTAGACACCTCCCAGCGCTGTCTGTCCGCTCCCCTGGCTGGGCTGGCTCGCCTAGCAGAGCAACCCCCCCGGCGACTATTTGGCTTTTCTCTCGTTTTGCCTCGTCATCATCAAACAATCGGGTTATTTCTGCCATCATCTCCACCAAAAGAGTGGACCTCTCGTCTCCCAGTCAAATGCTAGAACGAGACACACCAAATTACCTTTCGCATCCCCACAGACAAAACCTACGATAGGGCGGAGCAGGGGTGGTTGCTCGCATCTGTTTCCCATGCCGCCAGGGACTGCCCGCTGCCCGAACTGCTCAGAATTTGAACTGACTTGACAATGGGAGTCTGGCCTTCGTGGAGGCTCGTGAGGGTGCACTGCGCAACCAAGAAAACATAATGAGCGGGAAACCCCAGCACTCAGAGCACACGACGGCCACTGATGAATCTCTCGCCAACACCCGTTGATCAATGACCAGCCTCTGGCCGTGAAGGTGGCCATCCATCCAGCGCCCGCCGTGCCATGCCATCCCTGGGCCTGGCGATGGCCAAAATGTGGCCGCCGGCACTCGGGTACCTACCCAACCACCACCACCGCCAGTGCTCGTCAGATAAGGTAGACTTGGCGGTGCTCTGACCCTGTGCCAGACGAATGTTCCAAAGCTTCCATGTAGCCACTCCCCTCCTCGATTGGGCAAGCACCGTTGTCGCCGGCCGGGCATCATTGAGCGTGCGCTGTCATGGAGGGCAGACAGAGTGTGGCCAGAGCCACTCCATCTCGCATTATCCCGAGTCCCAGATCACCCAACGCGCAGTATCCGGATCTCTTCGCAGCATCTCACGCACATCTCTCGCCTCCGCGTCGTACGGCCGTGCCTGACGTCTACCTGCAATGGCCTGGCACCTTACATGAACGGCAACCAGCCCCCGACAATGGGCAGGCGCAGTTCATTACCGCTCATTTCCCACGCGGCACCCTCACAAAGACCATCTTGGAGACTAGCCGCCGCAGAAGCTGTCGCCACCCTAGTGTTTGCGCCAGCTGCTTGGCAGCCGAACCTCGAAGGGAAAGGGAAGAAATGCATCATTATGCCCATGACCGTAATGTTACGGCACGAGGTGCAGAGTGCCATCTAATGAACGCTCGGACGCCGTGAAATTGGCTGCGGCCTTCAGAGCACGTATCAAAGTCACGAAACAAAGTTGCGCTGGAGCTGTTTGAATGGTCCCTTGCTCCCCCTTCCCAGCCCATGCCTATTCCGTGCT